CAGTTGCATAAGCTGGGAGTCCTACACACCTGGGTCTGCCCGTGGGGAGGCCGCTCTCGTCAGTGGTCACCATGGCACCTGCCCGGGGCCCGGGAACAGCTAACAGAATCCAGTTGATTGGTTTCAGCAGAAGGAAATTCATTGACTAGTATGAGTGACCTCGCGGCCGGGTCAGGGAGATGGAAAGACTGGGCTCCGGGCCGGCACCGCGGCTCACTAGGCTAATCCTCCGCCTGCGGCGCCGGCACACCGGGTTCTAGTCCCGGTCGGGGCGCTGGATTCTGTCCCGGTTGCCCCTCTTCCAGGCCAGCTCTCTGCTGTGGCCCAGGAGTGCAGTGGAGGGTGGCCCAAGTGCTTAGGCTCTGCACCCCATGGGAGACCAGGAGAAGCACCTGGCTCCTGGTTTCTGATCAGCGCGGTGCGCCGGCCGTAGCGGCCATTTGGGATGTGAACCAACGTAAGGAAGACCTTTCTAAAAAAATAAATATTAAAAAAAAAAAAAAAGACTGGGCTCTGGTCTGGGCCCCCAGGCCCATGGCGCCAGCCCTGCTGACCTCCACGCCCAGGGGAGGAGCCCCTGCGGCCCCTGACGGCCTCACTGCCCTGGGCATCCTCTCTGGGGTGGGGGTGGGGGGCTGCCATCCCTGATGCTTGCCTGGCCCCATGCTGAGCTACAGAGCCAGACCCCGCAGGCTGGGACAGGCGAGGCAAGGGCTGTGCAAGTGCCGACAGGACGTCCGTGCAGAGGTTACAGGCACTCCTGGTGCCCAGTGTCCCCTGAGCCCACTGCAGTACAACAGGCTACCAGGTTCCAGGTACAGACAAGGCAGGCTAGAGTGGGGGGCACCCAGCACCCCAAAGGAAAGCGTGCTGATGCTGCTTCAGGCGCCCGCGGCCACTGATCCTCAGACTGACCATGGGCTAGGTAGCTCCAGGTGAGGTCACCGAGCCCAGGGCCGGCCCTGCGGGCACCCGGAGGCCGGGCCCGAGCTCCGAGCAGCCGCCGTGGGTGTTGTGACAGCCTCGGGCCCCGGGTGCCTGTGAATGTCCCATCTTGATCCCAAAAGAGACGGGGAGACTGAAACCCAAAACCCTTCCGTGTATCAGGCTCGTCTGCTCCCTCCCGCGCGGAAGTCACAGAGGGACAGGAAGGTTTGCTTTCTGAGGTTCTGAATTTGTGTCTATCTATGGGATCAAAAGTGTCTGGGAAACCTAACCCCTCAGCAAGCGAGAGGTAGACCGGGGCTTCTGTGAGTCAGGAGGGGAACAGAGTGTCCCCCACAGGCCACCATGAGAGCCCCCAACAGAGAGGCCACAAGCTCACAGCATGGGGAAGCCCTGGCTGCTCTGGTGTTCAGAGCGCCCCCTGCAGGACACCCCGCCATCCGCGCTGGGAGCGTGGGAAGACCGGGCATGCGCAGTGATACCCACAACGGGTATGACCACAGGGATGAGAAGGGGAGGCAAGTTTTCTATTTCTGCTCCATCCATAGCCACGCAATCCTTTTCTTGTGCAAGCCCTGCACCCAGCTGACTCCGGGTGCTCTTCAGAGCAGAGTACAGTCAGGGCGGCAGCCAAGGCCTCCTCACCCCGGAAGACGTCCCCCTGATCTGTCCCTGTCTGTCCAGTGGGGATTGACTGTGACCTCCTGAGCCTAAGAAGGGAAAGGTAGGGTGGACTGGACGAAGGCAGTCGAGCATGAAGCTGAGCGGCCGTGTTAGGCACAGTGCAACTCAGCGCGGGAGCCAGCCTCAGACAGCAGATGGGTCCAAGTCCACCTACACCCACCGAGAGAGAGAGAGAGAGAGAGAGAGAGGTCTCCATCCACTGACTCACTTCCAAATGCCTGCAACAACCATGGGGACCCACGTACCCGGCATCACTGTTGCTGCCCGTGGTGCACATCCGCAGGAAGCTGGGGCAGAGGCAGAGGCGAGACGACCCAGGCCCTTCAATACGACTAAGGGCAGCGGAAGCGGCGGCTTAACCTCTGCGCCACCACACCCCCGTTCTTCCACACACTGCAAATCACCCCTGGATCACGCACAACACCTGTGACGAGCGCAGCCACTTGGTACTCTGTATTGTTTGGGGAAAAGAAACAAGAAAAAGTGTGTACTTCTTCAGCACCGATGTCATTTTTTCTGACGTTTTTTGACCCACAGGTATTGAACCCACAGATACGGAGGGCTGGCTGTGTGGGTGTGGAGAGGGGGATTTTATCACGAATTGTACTGATGTGAAGAGTGTGTAGCTCACAAAAATAACAGTGAGGCATGTAACATGCCTTATTATGAGCCACACAGCCAGTCGATTCTCACGAATGCCTTTGTTGAGTTTTGCCAAACCCTTGCGTCTGTAGCCAACCCCCATGCGTCTGCTGACCGAGGGTCCTCAGATACTTGGGACCATGAAAGCGAGACAATGGAGACAGATGTTGGACCTTCACCGTGCGTCAGTGTCCCGAGTGGCTTCTTTGTTGGACTGGACCACAGTTCTCAGAGCCTGGTAGAGTTTGTCCTGTGTTTTGTGCGAGACACAGAATAATCATACACCGGTGTAGTGGGATACATGATATCCCCAGAGACCAGAGGTCCCTGTAACAAAACGCAGAGGAGCCTGGCCCTTCCCAGGGACAAACCCCTGCCCTGACTCCTGTCCCCTGCAGCCCCTAGGGCAAGGCTGGCGGGGTTGGCAGGGAGCCGCCAGAGCCTTCCAGCAGGGGAGGGGTGCGCCGGGGACAGAACTGGCTGGAGCGCCATTAGTGAAGAACAAAGTCACCATCTGCCCGGGGGCACACTTGGAGGAGGGGGATGTCCTGGGTTGGGGGCCCACATCTTCACGGTACAGTGCGCCTTAGCAATGAGCTAACTCGCGCATGCTCAGAGGGTGCAGGGCGTACTGCTAACTGAACACGCATGAGCTCAGACGCTGCAGGGCCCACAGAGCCCCAAGGCAGAGACGGGAGATGGGTGAGGATCCCTTAGTCCTGGCCCGGATGACAGAGTGCATGGCCTGTGAACAGGGCAGGAGGCCAGAGGGCAAGGACTCCAAGGAAACCTGCTGGAGCTCACACCCACGCTGTCATTCAAAGGGCAAACGGCCTTTTTCAGCCTGTACATGTGGCTGGGACCACCTAGCAAAGACTTGTATAAGGCACTCAGGGACAAAATAAAGGCTGTAGGGGCCGCACTGGCGTAGCAGGAAAAGCGGCCACCTGCAGTGCCGGCATCCCATACAGGCGCCAGTTCGAATCCCAGCTGCTCCAGTTCTGATCCAGCTCTCTGCTATGGCCTGGGAAAGCAGTAGAAAATGGCCCAAGCCCTTGGGCCCCTGCACCCATGTGGGAGACGTGGAAGAAGCTCCTGGCTCCTGGCTTCAGATCGGCACAGCTCTGGTAGTTGCAGCCAACTGGGGAGTGAACCAGCAGATGAAGACCTCTCTCTCTCTCTCTCTCTCTCTCTCTCTCTCTGCCTCTTCTCCTCTCTCTGTATAACTCTGACTTTCAAATAAATAAATAAATCTTAAAAAAAATAAATGTTGTAAGTAGAGCTCCCTAGGTATATAAAGTACTTAGAGTTTTTGAAGCAGAATCCCCGACTCCCCAGAACCTTCTTCTTCTTCTTTTTTTTAAAGATCTGTTTATTTGAAAGGCAGAACAACAGAGATAGGGAGACACACACACACACACACACACAAAATCTCCCATTTGCTGGTTCACTCCTCAAATGCCTGCAACAGCCAGGGCTGGGCCAGGCTGAGTCAGGAGCCAGGAGCTCCATCCAGGCCTCCCACATGAGTGGTGGGGGCTCAAGTACTTGGGCATCTTCTGTTACCTTCCCAGGCACATCGGCAGGGAGCCTGGTTGGAAGTGGAGAAGCCAGGACTTGAACCAGCACTTGGCTATGGGATGCATATCCACACCCTCCCAAGCAGTGCTGCACCACGACCCCTGCCCAGGAAGCCAGATTTTGAGCAGACATGCACCAACTGTGGCATGATCGTCCAGCAAGTTGGGGTACATACAGCAAAGCAGCCTCAGAATATGTCCCGTGTCATACAGAGCACTGGGCCCAGCGTCATACATGTGACACGCTTGGGCCACTTGGAAAAAACTTGGAGCCTGAAATGCCATGAACTGGTCCTTTCCTGCTTCATAACCTAGCCACACAGAGATGGCTCGACCAACAGACGGGGCCTCAGAGCCCACACCCACTGCACGACACTGCCAGCCAAATGGGCACTGTCAGACTCATGAAATAAAACCCGAATCACCACCCAGGGCAGGCACGGTATGTGAGTGTGTGTGCCCGTGTGTGAGCGTGGGACGGCAGTGACACAGGACACGTGAGAGTGCGTGCCCATGTGTGAGTGTGGGACGGCGGTGACACAGGACGTGTGCGTGTGTACATGTGTGTGATCATGGGACGACATATGAGTGTGCATGCCCGTGTGTGAGCGTGGGACGGTGGTGACACAGGACATGTGAGAGTGCGTGCCCATGAGTGTGGGATGGCAGTGACACAGGACGACGTGTGCGTGTGCATGTGTGTGAGCGTGGGACGGCAGTGACACAGGACGTGTGCGTGTACGTGCCCGTGTGTGAGCGTGGGACGGTGGTGACACAGGACGACATGTGCGTGTGTGCATGTGTGTGAGCGTGGGACGGCAGTGACACAGGACGACGTGTGCGTGTGTGCATGTGTGTGATCATGGGATGGTGGTGACACAGGACGACATGTGAGAGTGCGTGCCCATGTGTGAGTGTGGGACGGTGGTGACACGGGATACAACAATGCCCCCCCCGCCCCGCTGTGTCTGAGAAGCTGCAGGCTTTGTGGAAACACAGACATCGCCCCCAGGCCGTAAAGGAGACCCTGATAGAGCCAGGTTCCTGCCGCATCATCTCACCGATTCTACCACAGCAGGGAGAAGTGCAATCTAATTGTTTCGGGTAACTTGGGCTACTCCTGCAATCACACAAACTTACAAATCAGCATTTTATTGGAAACTTTTTTAATCCTTAATCAAAGTATTCAAAGCACAATTTAATTTTCCTTTGCTGACCCCGGGGTCCTCCCACTGGAAGACAGGTCACTCCATGGGGCTACCGACGGGATGAATCCAGCAGTCACCGTGGCCTCTGGTCCCTGCAGAAAAGGACTCTGGGTCACTGGGCCTTCCAGCCCCTCTCCTCCTCCCAGAGGTCACTCGTAAGAGTGGCCCGGGGATCAAGTCCAGCAAAGTGGCCAGCATGGACGTCCTCATCAATGAGAGGCTGTGGCTCTGCAGACACAAAATCGATCGCGTCAGCATTTGTCCAGTGCATTCGTAGAGGGAGGAGCGCGGGCTGGGGCCGGGGCCCAGGGAGGCGGGACACGCCCCGCCTGTCACCCGGCTGGCTGCAGGCCTGCACAGTTGGGCTGCATCTCCGAGCCCTGGCTGAGTTCACACCCCCGGCCCTCCCAACCTCTGGAGTCACTGCTGGGCTCTTACCCCACCCATTCTATGGAAGACTCGGGCTGGCAGACACTGTCACCTGCCACCTGTGCTCGGAGCCGCTGCCCACCCAGCGGCCTTACAAGCCCTGCCTGCCACCTGTCGGGGGCCTGCAGCAGGTGGGCCGTTCTTGCCTGTGGGTGCCAGCATTACCTCATGCTCTGCTTCTGCAGCTGTCTTTGGAGCTGGCGTGACTCAGCCCTCAGTCCCTGGCTCCCTTTTAGGGGCCCACAGTAAACGGAGAGCCGGAAGCTGCAAAGCCGAAGCCCAGACCTCGGCTCTCGGTGACTGTCACCATGCGGGGCACCACAGCCATGAGGACAGGAGCAAGCTGGGAGCAGAGAAGCACAGAAGCTGGCAGTGTACTTGTTTATTCCTACGGGGGCAGAGAAACGCTACACGGCGAGAGTTCCCATCCCCTGGTTCCCAGTGTCCACCAGCAGCCAGGGCTGGGCTGGACACAAAGCTGGGAGCCGGGACCTCACTTCAGGTCCTGGTCAGTGGCAAGAACCCAACCTCCTGAGCCATCACAGCGCCTCCCAGCACCTGCGTTAGCAGGAAGCCAGAAGCCGGAGCTGGGAATCGAACCCAGGCACTCTGACATGGGATGCCGGTGTCTGATCCCATGAGAGTGGCTACATGCCCACTCGCGGCAGTTCTTCTGTTTGTCAATCAGAGTTGTTTATGGCTATGTAAGGAGCTCGCCCACTGTGCTGACTGCTATACACAAATTGTCTCATTTGGTGTCCTCATCAACCTTATGAGGGAGTTATTAATCATACTCTCATTTTACAGATTAAGAAACTGAGGCCTGAAGTGGTCACAGATGGCAGAGACGTATCTGGAGCTCTCTGGTGCCTCAGCTTTTCTCTGCTTTGCTTTCCGCCTCCTGGTCAAGGCAGAGACCCCTCCCACTGTGCCTCTCGCCTCCCTGGCCTCGTGCGGGGAAGAAGGGACAGTTAGAGCTGGCCCACCAAGCCCGCTCCGTAATCTGCAGCCTCTCTATCCGTGCAGACCAGAGAGATGGTGAGCGGACTGCGTGATCCCGTCATGGCTGTGTCAGGAGCGAGCTCGGCTCTCTGCTTCCTGGGAGAATTCCCTTCTTCCGTGGCCGGACATCAGCTGTGCCCGCGCCCCAGCACTCTGTGGCCGCGACGCGGGACCGGCACTTGGCTGCCAGGAAAAGACTGGCTGAAACAAGACAGAATTGTGCTTCTCCACCCCCACCCCCGTGGAGAAGGCGGAGCCGGGGTGGAAGCCGCGTCTCAGGCTCAGGCATTGTCTGTCTGTCTGCTCTGCCTCCCAGGGGTGCGGCTCTGTGACAGAAGTCATCGCACACCCACGGCAGCCGGGAGGAGGAAGGACAGAGGACACATCCTGCTGCTTCAGGCCAAGGCTGCGTCCAGACCCCGCACTGGGCGTCTGAGCAAGAGGAGTTCGAGCCCCCTCATCCCAAATGCTGGGGACACTCGCATAAACTTCATCAGTTGAGCAAATCTAATCTAAAACCCAAGATCTGAAATGTTTTTGAGCATCACGTCGACACCCAGGAAATCTAGGGTCCTGGGGCATTTCAGGTGTTCGGATTAGTAACTCAGCCTCTCTGAGGGCGTCTTTAAAAAATTCATGGAAAATGTGTGTTGTGACAAAAAAGCGTGCATGGATTTCAAAATGTTTTACATCAAAACAAATTCATCTTTTAATCCCAGTTTCCATTTTTTTGAAGTCCTCTCCTACAGAGCTGGGAGACCACAGAGGAAAAAGCAAATGTGGGTGCCGCGGTGGCCTAAGATCTGCATCTCCAGGAAGCAGCTGTGACCCCTGGGGCTCACAAGGGATCGTGGCCAAGCCATCGTCTTGGTCCAGATCCGTCTCCCTCTCAGGCCCAAACCTGCAGGCTCTGTATCTTCACGGACCACCTTACCGCGTGCAAGTGATGTGGCTCCACCAAGGATAATCTGAAGTCAGAGTGGCCATGTGGGGCGGCCTGCGGCATAGACAGGACTGTTACTCGGAGAGTCAATCGCAGAACGTTGGGGAAAAGTGTCTCGACTCTCTGCAGCTCCATGTTCTTTGGGTGGCACAAGGGGACCGCTAGCTCAACTCAGATTCTAAAATTATCTACCTAAAACTTTTCCAAATCCAAGGTCACAGCGGGGACAGATGTGTGCTGGGCCCCTGTGGGTCCTTCCTCCCAGACCGTCTCATGGTAGGGCCCCGGGATACAAACCCTTGGCTGATGAGAGCTAAGTGGTAGGGCCTAAAAGGGATGTGAGGTTAACAGATGCTTGAAAACACAAAGAACAAAACAGAAACTCTTTTGACGGGGGACCCCTGTCCATAGAGCAATTTAAAGAACCGCTGGACACTATGGGATCCTGGTTACAGGGAACCGAGACCCAGAGAGCGCTTCATCCAGTGTGTGGTTCCAGGCATGGCGCTGGTCTCTCGGCTCCTGGAAGGTGGCATCGCGTGGTAGGAACTTGCGTGGAGGGAGAGGTCCCACAGCGAGACAGGAAGCCAGGGAGCAGCTCAGTGCCCAGCCTCGCTCTGTTATGAGTCAGGGTGTCACCAGGCCTGCTCTGACCCCTCCCAAGGGCAGCAGCCCTGACCACCTGGTCAGCTTGCTCGAGGCCCGCCTCTTACAGGTCCCACCAACGTCGCTGACCAGGGCACCCAGCTTCCAACCTGTGAACTCTTAGGGGACGAACTCTGTCCGAACCAAAGCAAAACCCAAACGGCACCCCAGAGAGACCTCCTCGAGAGGCCTGCGTGGAGAGGAGGCTCCAGGCGCGTGGCCCGAGAGCTTTCCCGCGGTGCCAGCCCAGCCTGGGTCCTGCGGCTGGGGCTCAGGCATCACAGGGCCCTGGTGCTGGGCTCACTGCATGTCCCATCCCCAGGGTCTGTGAAAATAAGTGACTGTTGTAAGTCACTGAGCTTTGGGTGATTTGTTAGTCATAGAATTAGAACATTAAGTAATCACAAAAATGTTCTGTTGTTACACGCACACTCCAGAACTAACTGGCTCAGATAAACAAATTCAACATAAAAGGAAAATAAAACACATTATAAGGTCTCTTAAAGTCCATGGGGGATGCTGTCCTAATTGGCTACAGAGAGCTTGTACAAATTTAAAGTAATTGAAGGATTTTCAAAGGAAAGAGAAAAAAATTAGCTTCTGATTATATGTTGACCCTTTAATGTTTTTTGAAGGATAAAAGTTTAACTGTGACTCCCATTGATGACCTTGGTTACCAGGCTACAAAACGTGATGAAAAGCAGGTCATTCCAGCTTTTAAACGGGACTGGAAAACCATGATGGAGAGAGCCGAGGGTGCAAGGCGGCCAGAAAGCCGAGATCCACAGGGGGCGCAGGCCTCCTGGGAGGGGGGAGGAGGAGGCGGGGCAGGGGACAAGCACGTGGCCGCCACGGGGCAGGAAGCTACCAGCCACATTCTGGCAGATCCCTAGAGGCCACGTGTGGGCTGGGTCACGTCTGGAATAGTGGGGGCACCCGGACTTCAGGGAGTTCGCGTCCAGGGACCATCTCTGAATTCCCAGGAGAGGTGCGCACAGCAGGCAGGAGCCAGGGAGCGCTCCTGCGGGGCTGCGCGGTGAAGGCTGCTACCCACAGGCACAGCAGCACCCACTGCTTTGCAAGGAAGCACGGAGCAAAGCCCACCCCACCCCACCCCGGGCGGGGCTGGGTAACCCCGAGCCCCAGGGGCACAGGGCAAGACCCGCCCGCCACCGTGCAAGGGGTCCACACAGAAACCTCCTGTTGCCGGGAGAAGGACCAGGGTGCGGGAACCCAACCCACAAAGCGGGAGGCCTGCCCGGCACCACCCACGGGACGGGGCTGGGGGGATTCAGCTGCTGTGGGACAGGGAAGGCCAGGAACACTGAGACAGCCTCAAGCTGAGGCCTCGGATCTCAGAACGAGGCTGGGCCAGGACCACCGGGAAAGACCCCTGGCTCTCAGGCTCAGCACTGGGGGGCGAGTGAGGACACTGCTCTCTTGGGGAGGGGCACAGAGGGAGCCCCGGGCCACAGAGGCAGGCAGCGCGGTTGAAAGGGGAGGACCCCCGAGGAGCACAGCTCCGCTCGGCTCAGGCAGGGGCTCCCCAGTGCAGGGAGGCTGAGGCCTTGGCTGCGCTGAAGGCTGCATTCGCGGCCACAAAGCCCAGCCGACTCAGCTCCCGGCTCAGTGGACTCAGCCTGGCCAACTAACAGCCAGACACAAGAGGCGTGGTAATTTGCAGGTGTACATGTTAATTACCTCACTCCACGCTGTTCCTGTTTCTTTTTTTTTAAGATTTATTAATTATTTGAAAGGTAGTTAGTGAAGGACAGAAAGAGATCACCCATCTACAGGTTCACCCCCTAAATGGCTGCCACAGCTGGAGCTGGACCAAGCCAAAGCCAGGAGCCAGGAGCTTTTGGGTTTCCCTTGTGGGTGCAGCGGTCCAAGGACTTGGATCATCTCTCACTGCTTCCTCAGGAGCATCAGCAGGGAGCTGGATCGAAGTGGAGCAGCTGGGACTTGAACCGGCGCCCATATGGCAGCTTTACCCTCTACATCACAACATATGGCCCCAAGAAATGAAATCTTGAAAGCAGGAATTAGAACAGATATTTGCATGTCAGGGTTCATAGCAGCATTACTCACAATAGCTACAAGGTAGAAACATTGCTAATGTCCATCATCAATGAATAAACAAAACGTGGTATATTCATGTAATTATATATTTACATACAATCTAGAATATTATTTACTCTTAGGAAGGAATAAAATTCTGACACATGCTACAATATGGATGAACCCTGAAGACATTACGGGAAGTGACACAAAGGGACAAACACTAGATGGCTCTACTATTGCGAGAAAACTGGAACAGTCAAATTCACAGAGGTAGAAAATACAACGGTAGTCGCAAGGATCTGAGGGTAGAGGATTGGGAGTTACGCTTTAATGATATAGAGTTTCATTCTTGGAAGACAAAACATTTCCTGAGACTGATGTTGAGAGTTGTGCAACGACATGACACTGAACTACATACCTAAAATTGGTTACAATGGTGTTATGAGGGCCAGTGCTGTGGCCTAGCGGGTAAAATAGTCGGCTGCAGTGCCAGCATCCCCTATGGGCGCTGGTTGGAGTCCCGGCTGCTCTACTTCTGGTCCAGCTCTCGGCTATGGCCTGGGAAAGCAGTGGAAGGTGGCCAAGTGCTTGGGACCCCACATCCACGTGGGAGACCCGAAAGAAGCTTCTGGCTCCTGGCTTTGGGTCGGCCCAGCTCTGGCCACTGTGGCCATTTGGGGAGTGAACCAGCAGATGGAGGATCTCTCTCTCTCTCTCTCTCTCACTCTCTCTCTCTCTGCCTCTCTGTAACTTTGTCTTTCAAATGAATAAACAAAATGGTGTTATGGGTATTTTACCACAATAAAAAGGGAAACATCAGAATCCTAAAAGCATATGCCTACAAAAGATTCTCAAAATACATTAATAAAAGTTAACAGAACTGAAAAGACCAACACACAGACCCACTATTATGGTTGGAAACTACAACAGTCCCCCATCAGTCACTGCTAGACTGTGGAGACAGAGATTGGCGGGGAGGTAGGGATCCTAAAAGATACTCTCGACCAGCCTGGCCCGTTGGTTTCCCTGGGGCTGCGGAGCGCGTTCAAGTGCATGCTAGGCCATACTTGACTCAGCAAGTAGACCGACATGTTTGAAAGACTTGGAATAACACAAATTTTATTCTCTAACCACAATGAAATTCATTACAAAAAGAAACTTGACAATCCCCATATATTTGGAAATCAAAAGGTACATTTAAAAATAATCCTGGAGTCAAAGAGGTAGTTAAAAGTGGAATTAGGAAACTTTTTTTCCTATGACAAAATTTGTAAGATTATTCAGGTTAGAGGGGTCCGGCGCCGTGGCTCACTTGGTTGGTCCTCCGCCTGTGGTGCCGGCATCCCATATGTTCTAGTCCCGGTTGCTCTTCTTCCAGTCCAGCTCTCTGCTGTGGCCCGGGAGGGCAGTGGAGGATGGCCCAAGTGCTTGGGCCCCTGCACCTGCGTGGGAGACCAGGAAGAGGCACCTGGCTCCTGGCTTCGGATTGGTGCAGTGCCGGCCATGGCGACCATTTGGGGGGGTGAATCAACGGAAGGAAGACCTTTCTCTCTGTCTCTCTCACTGTCTATAACTCTACCTGTCAAATAAATAAGTAAATAAATAAAATCTAAAAAAAAAAAATCTAAAAAAAAAAAAAAACAGATTCAGGTTAGAGGGAAACTTATAGCATTGCTTATACTAAGAATGAGAAATTTCTCAACCCAGGATTCTATGTTACTACACTGGGAGGTGGGGGTAGGCAGCAGCACTGTGGCACAGCGGGCAAAGCTGTGGCCCAGCCCTGGCTGCAATGGTGACGACAAGGGTGAACCAGTGGATAGATCTCGCTGTCTCTCCTTCTCTCTCTGTAACTCTGACTTTCAACTAAATAAATCTAAAAAAAGAAAGAACCGGCTGTGGGGAGTACTGTTTGCATCCTGTGAGTTTTCTTGGTATTTATGATTAAAATCACAGCCTGGCTATCAAAAGCCATTTTCCATTTTCTCAGCATGAAGTCACACTTGGTGCCGCGTTTCTTTTTCTGTGAAAAATGAGCTCTTTGATCAGAAGCAGCAAATAAGCCTTGGGAGGCACATCCACACCCAGAAGCCATATCCACTACAGTGAGCGCAAGTCCACGTGCTCCCCGGACGGCGGGCGTGCAAGGATCAGTACCGCGGTGCCTGTGTCTGTGCACAGAGAACGGGAGCTCCCAGAAAGGAGAGCTTGCTCACTGCTGCCCCTCCAGATGCCGAGGGAGGTGCCGGCCCTGAGTACAGGCTCGGTGTCTTGGCCGAACAAAGGGCGCCCGAGAGCAGCCCATGGCACAAGGGCTCTGCAGGGACTTGTCTTCTGTTTCTTAGGTGAGATCTTCAAGATGAGCGCTTCCCCTCTGCTGTGCACACTGCCCCTCCGCCCCCTGTGTTCTCGCGTGCCCTCTGCCGTACGGGTGCTGAGTCCTTTCTTAGCACTGTTTTCAGGTTTAGCATGTAAGAGTATCTCTTTTTAAAATAAATCTTTTCCCCCGCCGAGATTTATTTATTTATTTGAAAGGCAGACTTAAGAGAGGTAGAGGCAGAGAGAGAGAGAGAGAGAGAGAGAGAGAGAGAGAGAGAGTGTCTTCCATCGATGGTTCACTTCCCAAATGGCTGCAATGGCTGGAGCTGGGCTGATCCAAAGCAAGGAGCCAGGAGCTTCTTCCAAGTCTCCCACATGGATGCCGGGGCCCAAGGACTTGGGCCATCTTCTACTGGTTTCCCAGGCCATCAGCAGAGAGCTGGATTGGAAGTGGAGCAGCTGGGACTCGAACCAGTGCCCATATGGGATGCCAGCCCTGCAGGCGGTGGCTTTACCCGCTAAGCCACAGCGCCGGCCCCAGTACCTCATTTTTATGATAGAATACTATTCCATTGTATGGATTTACCACATCTTGTTCATAGCATTATTCACTGCCTGGACATCTGGGTGCTTTCCAGATTTTTACTGTAATGCTGCTGCAAATCTGAGTCCACATATATCTTTATTTCTCTAGGCAGACGTCAGAAGTGGAGCTGCTGAGTCATGTGGTAACTCGTTTCACAGTTTTAAGAACTGCAAGACTGCTTTCCAAGGTGGCCACGCCACTGCATGCTTCCACCAGCCACATATGGGGGTTCCAATTTCTCCACATCCTCCCAACCCTAGTTATTGTCGTTTTTATTATAGGTCGCTCTGGTGGGTGTGAATGTCATTTCATTTTGTTCTTGTGTAACGTGGAAACTTCATGACCTCATGTGAGTAATTCCTGGGCGCTCTGGAAGCTGTATTTTGTGTTCTGTTCAGTGCTCTGTGGCCTGTTGGCTGTGGTGAGGCAGGAAGAGCTAAGACAGTTTTTTTGCTACAGTATCTGGTTTCTGGTCTTTACTAAGATTTTCAACATACCCAGAAGGAAGGTTATCTTGGCCTGGCTGGGGACTGTTTCATGGCCCAAGGGGTCATCCCGGGCTTTGATCTTTTCTTTGGCTCTGCATGGAAGCCCCATGTTCATCAGAGTACCTCCTGCTTGCTCAGCAGCCCTCGCTCATGGCTCTCTTCCCAGCAGCCTTTGCACTACCCCCGGTGGGAACAGGGAAAGGACAGGATACCCCAATTTCCTCTGGCCACTTGACCACCTGACCAATTTCCTCTGCAACCTGTTTCTCTCTTGCCAGTGCGGGTTCCTGGATCTTGCCGGAGCAGCCTTGCACACCTGAGCCACGCATTTCTCCCTCCCGACTCGCCACTTTCGGACCTTTTGGCCACTTGGCTGTCGCCTCTGGCTTGCTGCTGTGTTTTTGTTTCTTTGCTGTTTACAGGAAGGAGATGCTGGCTTTTCTACATTGTTTGTGCTGTTGAGTATTTGATTGTGCCACTGTCAAAGAATTCTCACCAGTGCTTCTAGGCGTCCACCTCACCCCTGGAGTACCTGCCGTGTGCCAGGCGGGGCTCTCGAACTGGGCGACCGCAGAGGACCAGAGCCCTGCCTTCAGGGGCCTGTCCCAAGCAACACTTCTGTATTCTGCACAGAAGTGGGGTGTCTACAGAAGGCAATCTCAATCCTTCACATCCAAGAATTCCTACCAAGGTCACCAAGTTAAACTTAGAAATCTGAAGTACAGCATGAAGGCTACACTTAGTGTATTGAATACTAGAAATTTGGAAATTTGCTAGGAGAGTAAATTTTAAGTGCTCTTACCACACAAAAAGGCTACCTATGTGACATGATGTACATGTTAATTTGCTTGACTGGAGGAGCCATTTCACTTTACACCAAAAAAATCACATTTACACTGTAAGCACATACAACAAAAATGAAATATATATGCCCGTTATGTACTAGCGACACTCACAACCACAAGTGCTGGCAGGGGCAGGCATCTGGCTTAGTGGTCAAGTGGTCAGCGCCCCCCACCCCCCACCCCGCAGTACCTGGGTTCAAGTGGGAAGCCCAGGATTCCTAGTTCCTGCTAAGGCACACTCCAGGAGGCAGCAGGCGATGGCTCTAGCTGGGTCCCTGCCGCCCACGTGGGACAGCTGGATGGCTCCTGGCTCTGGTCTGGCCCAGCCCCAGCTGTTACGGGCATTGAGTGTGAACCAGCAGATGGGAGCTCTGTCGCTCCCCTTCTACCTCTCAAAAAAAGAAAAACTGAAATTTTCAGAACTGCCTTCATCAAATACGCCCATGGACAGCAGGAGAGAAGGAATCTGTATCCACTTTTTCAGTTTTCTTGATGTTGTATGTGAAAGGCTGCAGCAGAGAAAGCTCATTTTCCATTCACTGCTTATGGGATAAAATCATTTGCAAATTCCTTAACTGATGGTGCACCAAAAATAAATGCAATTCTGGCATATGATATAAAAAAAAATTTAAGAAAGTTATGTGGCATAAAGAGGACATTTTTAAATCTTGAAGCGTACGATCTCTGAAAAGTATCTTTTACAAGCACCACAGAGCAGACCCGCTCCTTAGTAATTTGCAGAAATCTCATCAACATGGTGCTGGCGACAAATATTTACTCGAAGCCAATTTCTCTCTCTTTTCTCCCGGCAGCCACCTCAACCACCAGTCCCTGGAATTCCACACAACCGCTTCGAAACCTCCAAGACTCCCCTGGCATTAGTCACTTGGAAAATATATGAGCCTGTGTGTGCGCAACATTGTGCTGGGGATAATAGGTGAAACAAACCCGGCACCTTCCCACGAGGATCCACCGGGTGAAGGGAAGAGTGCTGACAAAGCGAGGGAGATTCTTAGGACAAAATGACGACAGATGGCACGCTGCTCTGATAAACCCCAAGCACCCAGAGAGCCATCGGCAGAGGCTGGCTGGCTGCTAGGGTTCCCAGGCTGGTAAACACATGTACGGGGGGTGGGGTGGGGTGGGATTCCTGTGTTGAAATCCTCAACCACCTGGCGATGCACTAGGAGGTGGGGCCGTTGGGAGGTGGCCAGGTGGTGGGGGTGGAATCTTCATGAATAGGATGCACGCCCTTATTAAAGAAGCCCAGAGGCGCCCCCACTCCCACCATGTGAGGACACGCAGGGGGTGCTGGCTGCCAGGAAGCAGGCCTTGACCGGCAGCTTGACCTGCTGGTGCCTGGACTTCGCACTCCCCGAGCCTCCAAGCCCTGAGAAAGTTCACCCGAGCCACAGCATGGACGGCACGTGTTACCGCAGCCCCCAAGTGGACGAGGACCACGCTGGGACAGGGAAGGCCAGCCTGCTGCCAGCAGAAGCCCATGGGATTTGCTCCAGAGCTCGAACCTGTCACTCCCCCTCTTCGTGGAGGAGCAACACTGAACCCTGCCTAGGCTTCATATCCGAGTCACGGCACCATTATGTCGCTCCCCCTCTTCATGGAGGAACAACACAAGACCCTGCGCTGTTCTTTCGTCTGCTCGGCCCTCCCCGGGTTTGCTGCTGGTTCTTCCCGGGTTGGCTACTATCCCTTCCACCTCCGTGGAAGGGCAGTTCCCCCTGGCCACATTCCCCACTTCCGCAGGGGAGCGGCACACCGCCGGCCGGCTTTCTCGGGGGCTGCACGGGTTCCCTTAGATGTTCCCCATAGATGTTCCTGGTGCATGCCGTCTCTCTCCTCCTTTATAGTCCTCCTCCGCCAATCCCAACTCGGCTGCCCACACGCCGAGTACGCTGCTCTCCAATCAGGAGCAAGTCCTACAGTTAATTGGTTGAACTGGAGGCAGCTGTGCGGAAGCTGTTTACTTCTCTCCCAGCGCCATATTGTGGGAGAGCAGATGCATAGAATAAGTCTTAATTCCAGTAACTCAGTCTAGTCCGGTTGCTCCCCACAGAACCTACCGTCCTTGGTGCCCTTGGAATCTGTAGTTTTGTTCTGTAGCTTCCTTAGGGCCACGGGTGAGGCCATCTTTCATAAACCGGTTTGAAGTCTGCATGTTTCCTGCGATTGTCTCACAGGCCATTGGCCCTGCCCAGGCCTCCACACAAAGCACCCTGACTGGTTCCCATCCAGCAGGTTCCCAGGCTAGCCCTCGTGCAGACATTCTAGGATTCGGGAACAAGTCACTCACTCGCCTCCTAGACTTGGGCTTTGAGCTTTCGCCAGACACTGCAGCCTCACGATGGACCCCAGGCTCCGAGGCCGTGGAGACGGGTGGTGCTACGTTATCTCCTCCAGGGGCCAAGGGACTCCGGGGCTCCACCTCGCGTGGCTGCTCAACAGGAACTGTGAAAGAGACTCTCTTCTGCACAGAGCTGAACGCGGAGCAGGCTCAGAGGAAAGCGCGCTCATCGGCTACTTGCAGGGGCAGCTCCTCTTCTAGTTATCGCCTGCTCATCCACGTCTCCTGGATGAGACAAAGTGTGTGTCTGCTCCTGCAGAGAGGGGTCCAGCCCTTCCCGCAGCACTGCCCCTGCCCCGTGACAACTTCCTAGGGAAAAAGGGTTTAGCATCTGCTATTTCGGAAATGAGAACAGGAAAGCAAATGTGATGTGGAGGCGCCACCTACAGCCCAGGACTGGAACTGTTACTGGATTGCACTAAAGAAAGGACAGCAGATGTGTCGCCCAGTCCTCAGGACAAGTCATCACCCTACGGACTGACTGTGCGCCCCTTTCAGGCAACCTGAGTCGCAGTACTCAGTCCTCAGACACCCTAACTGGAAAGCAAGACCACCAAGACATTTGTTCCAGAAACAACCCGAGAGCAAACCATTTTGAATGAATAACTGCTCTGCTCTCCAATGAAGACGACAGCTCCACCGCATGCTAACGTCTAACACTGCGACAACGGCGACTGCAGGAACAGCCCAGGTGCTGCAGGGATGAAGCGAAGCGCAGAAGAAACATTAACTCAGGATGCTGCCGACACAGAACACACAGAAACAGGCTCCTGGTATTTCCTGAGGTCACACTTTTATTCACACTCCAGCATTCTTGCAACCTTCCGTATTACTGCCGAATAGGACCCACATTTCTGTAGTTACTCCACAAAGTCACATACAAGGACGCTGCACGGCTGGGACCCTGCAGAACGTACAGAGAAGCTGAGCGGGTCTCTTTCCCGAGCTCACAGAAGACCCCCCACCCACCCACCCATTCCCTGCAACCACCGGGGCTCCAGGCAGAGCACACCAGACAGGAGACGCAGTGACACAGGCAGCTCAAGCACGAGACAAAGGCACTGCGTTCTCTCACTGCAGAATGTGTTCTTCCGGTTTAAATAAGTTCACGCTTTTTCACAGAAAAAAAAATATACTTAAGGCAAATAAAAGCAAATCCCGGGTTAGCACGCTTCAGTGTTCCGTTTCCTCTTTATTACCTTCATCAAGGCAAGCAAAGTACAGATGCTGTACGTAGAACAGACCGACGTCCCTCCCGCCCATCCATCCAGGGGACACGGGGCGCGCTCCCTCGAAGCACGCGCCGCAGCTAGATGTACAGGGAGCCATCTGCGGGGCCCACGTAGCCGACCCCGATCAGCAAGACGTCGATGAGCGTCCAGATGCCCAGGCCCCCGAAGCTGAAGAGCTTGCCGAGGCCTTCCCGCCACTGGCCCAGGTAGAAGCGATCCGCTCCGAAGCCGCCCAGGGTGATGCTGCAACAGCAGTGGGCAGTGTGAGACCCGGTGCCCCTGCAGCCCGCGGGGCTCACCAACCACCCCCGGCTGCGCGCGAAGAGGCGCAAACGGTCAGAGCCCTCAGTAAGAACACAGATGGCACAGCACCGAACGACCGGGGTAGAGACGGCTTGGACGTTAGCAGTAAACACACCATTTTAAGTACACTGGGACCTCCTATTTTCCCTTGTACAGATAAGCAGTTCATCTTGCTTTTCAGCATCAAAACCCAGCAGAGGCCAACCCAGCAGAAAGTGCACTGACGGGGCCAGGAGCTGACCCAGACCACTCCTCTCCTAAGGTCCTTTCAAACCCTAGGACCTAACAACAACGGAAAAACTCACAGCAGCAGAGAGAGCAGTGGTCGTGAGGCAGTTCCAGCAATGCCCACCCTAAGGCCAGCCCTGCTGGATGGGTGCCTGTCCCACCCCCCCAATCCCGCATGCTCAGCCCTCTGTATCCAGACGACATGTACTTCAGAAGAAAAAAACTGTGTGTGTGAACACACACAGACTTTTCCTCCTGCCATTATCCCCTAAGGAACACAGCGTGACAGCTAAGTAGGAAGCCTTTATATTGTATCAGGGATTATTCACAATCTAAGCACACAGCGGTATGTGTGCGCCTGTGCAAACACTACGCTGCTGTAGACGAGGGACCTTGGCACCCGTCGGCGGGGATCGGGGACTCAATGCCGTCGGGTGCCGCAGGCCGGCCGCACCTCCCGCAAACCCGGAGACCTCGGCATCCGACGGTGGGGATCGGGACTCAACACTGTAGGATGCACAGGCCGGCCGCACCTCCCAAAACCCTGAGCATCACCTCCGGTGAGGCCTTCGAGCTCTGAGAAACGACTCTGAATCTTAGGAGTGGCTGTTAAGCGTCTTTTGGTGATGTAAGTCATTAACAGTACTGGGGAAACCAGGTGAGGGGTACACAGAACTCTGTAAGTTTCCTATAAATCTAAAATGACCCTACATTAAAGTTGTTTTTTTTAAGTCAGTCAGCTGTCAGTCCACACCTGAACTGCGGCAAAGACTGAGGCCAGATATCCGGCCTCACCATCACGGCCCATTTCCCAGCGAGGCCCTGCCCCATCCTTCCCGCTCCCCGGCCTCACCCGGCTGCAGTGGATCTCGACAGGGGCCACCTCAGGCCCTGGGGGGATACCTGGCCACATCTGGAGACGCTCTCACCGTCACCACTGGCAGCGGTATCTGTGACTGACAGCTAGTAGCAGAGAGTGGCTGGGGTGCTGCTAACATCCTACTGTATACACAGGTAAAGAATGACTTTGCCCAAACTGTAACCAGTGTGAGGTCAAGAAACTCTGCCCTGTGCCACCGTGCAGGCCTCGGTGTGTCCAGCTCGCACCCTGAGACTGCAACTGGACCCAGTGCAACTAACCAGACTGTCACGGCCAGACCCCACCTGCAGAGATCTGTTTAAACACTGAAGGCTTCAGCAAATGCAAGCCCATTGTTAGGTGGGGATCACAGGTCTACAACCTCTGAAGGGTGAAATCACAGGTGATTCTCATGCTTTTATTCTCATTTTCTCTGGTTTTTGATACTGAGCATTGTGTCACTTTTATAAAGTGTTAAAAATGTATCATAAACCTATTTTAAAACTCTGTAGCATTTTACTTACCCCAGGCATGTTCAGGACAGAAAACTGTACCTGGTTTTTAATTGCTCAGTTAAGCCAGCCTCCCACTGAACTCCAGAAAGGCGCTGGTCTGATGGCCTACACTCTCCAGAGTCTATGACATGGGGCAGACGCGAGCGCAGGAGGGACACACAGCTCAGTGTCTGAGAGCGCACTGACGCCAGGTGTGCGACGCACATTTAACTCAGCAGACAGGAGTTTACCTGAGCGCCAGAGCGGTAGACCACTTGTAGCCTCCGGTCCAATTGCAGTAGAGCATCTTGGGAAATGTACGGTTCCCTTAAAGAAAAAAATAAAGAAAACACTCCACTGAGAACCAAGGACATAAACATACTCTCACAGGGATCCTGCACTGTACGTAATGGCCTTCCAAGTTAGAATTTTAAAGCAAGTCAGCTCTCTTTACAGTAAGAAGTGTGCCCCACGGTGGACAGCACAGTGGACCTTTTCCTCTGCGAGCACCGACTCCATCCTGTCAGGGAGGGGAGTTACCGCCCGCTCTCAGGACCGCAGGGTAGCCTAAGAGAGGACAGACAGACACACCCCCACAGCAACAGCAAGCCAGAGCGATGACCACGCTTCAACGCCCCATGTCCCGCACTCGTCGCCCTGGGACAACGGGCGGGCCATAGGGAAAACCTGTCAAGCTGAGTCTACCTCACCCCTGCCGCATACCCCTGCACACGTGCAACCAGGAGCTGGGACAGAAATGTCGACAGCAAATAATCCAATTCCCAGGCGAATGGAGAGACTGACACAGTCTTAGGTCAAAAAAGAGAAATTCCTACAAGAATCTGAGCTGTATGTGGACAGGAAAAAGGAAGTTCCATTACCACAGCCTGATGTCACTGTCTAAACACCTAAAATGTGCACTAAAGAGCATGGGTTTGTTTGCTTTTAGATTTACTTATTTATTTGAAAGGCAGAGTTACAGACAGAAAGATCTTCCATCCGCTCGTTCCCTCCCCAAGTGGTTGCAACAGCTCAGGCTGGACCAAGCAAAAATCAGGAGCCTGGAACTTCATCCGGGTCTCCCACATGAGTGCTGGGGCACAAGTACTTGGGCCATCTTCCACCGCCTTCCCAGGTACATTAGCAGGGAGCTGGATCGGAAGTGGAGCGGCCAGGACTGGAACTGGTGCCCACGTGGGATGCCGGTGTCACAGGCAGAGCCCAACCAGCTATGCCAAGACTGTCCCCTGAAGAGTGTCTCATTCGCTATTACGCACACAACAGAACTCTAGGCAATTCTGAAAAGGAAGTAGGATGGTAAAGACAGTCAGAAGTGCGTGGGTCTCCGAGGACGGGGAGGAGCGAGTGGACGGAGGTGACACACACAGGCAGCTGCACGCATCGGGGCCGTTTCAGCTCCTCTGGCTACGGCTGTGTTTATGTTACACTTTATACCTCACATCCCTCTTCTTGTTTTATCGAATTTTAAATTTAAAGAGAACTGCACAGATCTGAATGCTTGTTTTCGGTTCACTGAGTTTATTATCGAGGCTAGGCAACCCTCCACATCTGCTGTTTCTGATCGAATAGTTCAAATTCATTGCTCAGCACTGTGGCTAAAGCCCCTTGAGGACACACAGAGGACAACACACTCTGCTCCCAGACTGCCCTGGACGCCGGCTCACCCAAGCAATGGATGTGGTCCCGCACGGTGCAGTTGGCGGCGTAGCGCTGCCGTGGACACGACACGGCCATGCAGCTGGTGGAGCTGGTGCACTCGTAGTCTGTTTCGGGCAGCTGCCAGCAGAACCGGCACGTCATGTTGATGACGAAGCTCTCCTGGGCCCGCAGCTCTCGATCCTGCTTCCAAAGGACAGGAACTCGTCAGGCAGGGGCTGTGGCCAGTGCCAGGCCACACGATCGCAGGGCGCATTTCCAAAGCCCCAGACGTGCGCTGCAGCAGTAAGTGGCAGGCAAATGGATACCAAAACACGCGTGCACAGCAAATGCACAGTACGATGCCGTCACCACAAAAACACACGCCCAGCGTATGCGGCGTGCAGTCCAAACGCAAGGCTGTCTGTGGTGATGAGATCCTGACATCTCTTTTGCTTAACTCAATCTGTCACAAAGAGAAAAACCTGTCCAGTCCCAGTCCCAGACGGCTGGAAGGGACTGACGAGTACATTCACTGACGGGCACCGAGAGGCCAGGAAGAAGCAGAACGCGGCCCCCGAGCCCGGCCTGCTGCTTCCTACGTCTAACGCGCTGTCTTGCTTCTGAGTTCCACATCTCCCCGGCATCTCAGGGGAACCGCCTGACATGAAAGCCCCAAGCCCCCGTGCCAGCGGTGCCCCTGCACTGGGCTGCCTACTGGTCCACCAAGTGCCTGTGGAGGCGCACCGACGGCCGAGCTGCAGAGCGCCAGGGGAGACGCCGGAGGAGGGCTGCAAGGCAGAGGGGCTCCCCGCAGCAACACGGGCAGGGTCGGCGAACCTGGATTTGATTCCTGATGTGCAGCTCAGTGACCTTCAACAGAGGCACATCTGCTTCTACCTGGAATCCACTGTAGACAAGACGGGGCACCAGGCAGCCACCCGGCACTGCAGCGGTTACTGAACCCATCTTCTCTGCAGAGGACGGAGCCCTTCGAACGCTCAGCCTTGGTAAAAAGACACTCCCAGGCCCCTGCACACGTCGAGGAGCCCGACACCCACCAGCAGGACCCACACCTGCCCCAGATCCGCCAGCAGGCTGAATGCAGGCACCCAGTGCGGGGGCACCGCTGGCACGGGGGGCTGGGGCGCTCCTCCAACCCTAAAGCAACACTCTGGTCATGCACACTCCAGCGGAAACAACAGATCACAGTTACCGGGTAACTGCAACAGCAGCAATCTGACACGGAGAGGAACGCAGGGCTTTAAATTTCATTTCTATTTATATATTTCTCAGAGCAGTTAAAAATACAGGCGTGGGCACTGTGGCACAGCAGGTTAAAGCCACCACTTGGGATGCCTGCATTCCATACTGGAGGCAGCAGAGGATGGCCCAAGTGCCTGGGTTCCCGCCTCCCATGTGGGAGGCCTAGAGGGAGCCCCTGGCTCCTGACTGCAGCCTTGCCTAGCTCTGGCTGTGGCGGGCATTTGGGGAACGCGCCAGCGGTGGATGGAAGATCCATCTCTCCTCTCTCCCTGCAGAAGTCTACACTGCACTTTGAAGATGAGGCTTCCGGCACACAGACCGCTGAGAGTAAGCTGCAGCACTTACGACACAGGTCACAGACGGCTTCACGGCACAGTCGAAAGTGGCAGGCTTCCCGTAGACGCAGGAGAAGTTGGTGGCGCAGTCTATGCAGTCCGCAGGGAGTCTGCTGCACAGACCGTTGCTAGGACACTTGGTCACGTAGGGTGGGATTTCGGTAGTCTCTGTGAGAGGCGACAGGAAGCTCACTCTCTCCCCAACAGGCGCACGGGACCCCGAGAGGCACGGGGCTCGGTGCGGTTCTGCCGCTCCTGCCTCGCAAGAGGCACACACACGAAAGGGTCTCACGTACACACAACGTACAGAAAATGCCAGGCAGGGTCAGGGGCGCGAAAAAACATCTCCCACTTTATAAGATGAAAAACTAACGCTGAGAGATGTAGGACCTGGGAAAATCAGCCGTGGCCAAAGTGGAACCAGCTATTCTTGAGAGCGACTTTGGGAAACAGGATTTCTTGTGCTTTCTTTAAAAAAAAAAAATACTCTGCGTTTTAGACACGAGCACAGTGTTGTTGCTGACACTGCAGCATCGCCACCCGGGTCATTTCACGGAGACCACGGGGCCGGGCGGGGACGGGCCCGCAGAGCCCAGGGCTGCCCGCTCAGCCCCGGGTGCTCACGCCGCCGTGCGCGCAGGTTCCTCCCCTACCCGACTCCAGGTCCCCGCAGGCCCTGCGCGGTCCTCCCACGTCACACAGCCCGCGGAGGGTGGCGTGCGGGGCTCGCGCGCAACCTCGGGGGCCGGGCGACGGGATGGAGGGCGCGGGGAACGAGGACGGGAGAGAGAGAGACGAGGAGCGTGAGCCCGCGGCCACGGCAGCCAAACGAGCGACGACGACGACGACACGAGCAAGGAAGCGTGGGTACCTGGCGCCCTGGGGGCCGCGGTGAACGCACGCGTGGGGGCCGCATCCTTCACCGGCTGCGCCAGCGGCTGCGAGTGCTCTAAACGCAAAGACACCGCGGTCAGAGACGGGGCCGCACCCGGGCCCGCGCGGGCACACGCGGGACGCCCCAGGCCACCGACCCGCGCGGCCGCAGCGCCGGCTGCGGGCACCCAGGGACCGAGCGCGGCCTCGGGATCCGGTTCCGCGCTCGCCATCGCAGAGCGCTGGGGCGAGCCCGGGCGCGGCGGCCCGGACGCGCCAGACCCCGGCTGCAGCGGCAGCGACCCCGCCGCCTCCGTCTCGGCCCGGCAGCTTCCCGCAGCTCCCGGGGCACCACTTGCCTCGCGCCCTCCTCGGTGCGGGCCCCGGCCTCTCACTCACCACCGCCAGACAGAACGCAGAACTGAGAGAGGAAGAGCAGCAAGCGCCACAGGCGGCCGAGGCCCCGCAGCGCGCCCGCTGCGGCCGCCATCTTGCGGATGCCCGCGCACTTCCGGGCCGGGGGCGGGGCTCCGCGAGGGCGGCCCGGGGCGCCGGCGGCGCGTGCGCACTGTGGCTCTGAGGGCCGGTGCGCGCCTGCGCGGCTCCCTGCTCGGGCCGGGGTTCCTCTCCGGCTGTGCACCTGCCCGGCTGTCCCCGGGAGGGAGCGGATAGCGGGCCTCTCTCCGCGCCGCTTTCCACTGCACCCCGGGGCCGCAGTGCGCAGCGAGCTGCCAGGAAGCAGGGGCGGCCGACTTGGGAAGCACGCGGGGCGGTGCGGGGTCCCTGGCGACGCCGTCCCCCTAAAACATCCGCATCCGCGGGTGGGCGGCCCGGGAGTGGCCGGGAGGCACGGGAGCCCTGATGGGGTCTGCTCAGCGAACCGAGCCCGCGAGTTCACCGCAGCCTGCACCTCGCGCCAGCGCTGCTGGCTGCCTCACTGCCCACATCCCGCAGGACGCGGGAAAGGTTTCTTTAGGCCTGTTTCAATCCTACAACACCTGGCCGAAAAACCAAAAACACCCCAAAACACCACCAGTAAACGCTAAATGTCCCTTGATGGATCGCTAATCTCTAGTGCTATAAATTTTAGTTCAGTTCTGAGCAGTCAGGGCCTCCTTCCGGTTAAAATCTGAAATCCACGCGCCTGCGGGGTCGGTGCGACACAGCCCATCCGAGCTGGGGAAGCACGCACGGCGGGCGCCCGCGATGCACTTGATTTGGGGATTTATCTTTTCTAACGGTGAACAGAGCAATCAGGAATTGGAAGCACTAGAACTGCCACTTGTGAGCGACAGTGTAAACAGAGTCCACAACACTGGGTTCTCTGTCAGTAATCCGGTGTGGAGTACCGGCCGCTGCTTCCACAATGACTTCAGTTCTAGAGAGAAAGTTTCACTGGGCCCTTTAGGAAAAACAGTCGTAAAAACACCTGAGACACGATATCACTGGAAAATAAGATTCCCCACATGCAGGAAGCTCTGCAGACTTTTATTAGACGGCTGTCTTTGAAAACCACACATCTCAGCAATGCATTTCACAATCCTCATTCCCTAGTTCTTTCAGTGAATAACACTTCTGCACTTAAGACTTTCAACACACGGCCTACTTCAAGATTTCCCAGGTGTGCCCTTTGGTGTCGTCCGGGCACAGCAGTGAGCTTAGCTCGGGACACAGCAGCTGCCCATCTGCTCCTCCCTTCTCAACGGCGGCCATTGGGGGACCCAGCAGCCGCCCAGGGTTCTCGGACGCGCACTGACAGCCCAGCTGGTGAGGGGAGACATCTCAGGGAGGAAACAAAGCCACACCGAAGCCAGGACGAGGGGCGAACTTCAGAACTCCTCCTCAGCATTCAGTGTGCGGCATTTCTTGAGATTCTTCAACTTTTCAATGGCAGAAATGACTGAAATTTCCCCATGAATTTTGTTGTCTCTTGTTCGAACGTTTACAGCATTATTCGCCATTTCCTTTTCTCCAACCACTGCAGAAAAGGAAAACAAACATGAAGTCAACACCCACGTGACACATCCTGAGCTTTTCCTCAGTGTTCATCACTGAACGCTCAATATAATGACCATCAGGTTCCTCCTCCGGTGGCGAGTTTCCTGAGGAGGGAGACTCGTAAACCTGTCCCGTGGATGTGAGAGCAGGACTGTGGTCTCGGGGCACAGATGGAAGCAGGGACTCTCTCAGACCGACCCTGACTCCACCCCAAGTACCTGATGCTGAGGGGTGGACAAGCAGGCCCATGCTGGCCAGCAGAGTCCTCTGCACTGGGGTAACACCTTGTCCTCTCTAGTGACCTATACCGAGAGACGGTGCAAGAACTGGCAGCCATGTGGAAGGAAGAAATTGGTCACAGGAAAGCAGAATAAAGTAGAGGTTGACAGAGCAGAGCAAGACACCAGAAATGCGGAGGAAGGATCCTGGCGAGGGTTAAGCTCCTGGTCCCCCTTCTCATGGTGTGGCCGTTTAATTCCACCTTTCATGTCACCGGAGGGCCCAGTGCCTGTCCAATCAGTCCCCGCTGTGTCTGAGCCAATCTGAGGTTTCTGTCACCAAAAGCAGCCTGATTGAAATACCACAAGTGACTACAGAGTCAAACCGTGCTAATGGAAAGCTGCCAAGACAGCCCTGGGTTTGGTTTGCTTGCTACAGACTTCTGCAGCTTACGTGAGACATCATTACAATGCCTGCGGGCATGTCAGTATCAGTTTCTCTTGGTTTCAGAATCACTTTTTAAGACAGAATTCTCCATTCTGCATCCAAATTATCCATGTGCCTCAGGGACATTGTATTTTTTCATCTGAATCATTTTCTTATGATCATTTTACATTTGGAATCCTTCCCATCCATTAGGTTAACCCCAAAGGTTTCTAATAAACCAGGAAAGCAAGAGAGTATTGAAGGCCTGCCACGTGCTGGAAGGTGAGTCAATTCTTGTGATGAGATCACTTTCCCATTATTCTTGCTGGTCTGATACACTATTGCTAGTAATACTAGAGTTCTTGATACTTTGTAACTCTCCTTCCGGCAAGTAACAGGGTGCCTACGAACAGCGACCCCAGGAACACCACAATTCCTTGTGTGTATAAATACTAAACAAATTATGATCATCAAATAGTTTAACATATCCAATTTTGGGGGGATTGAAGTGAAAAGAAAACAGGGATTTGGAGAAATACATGCAAACTTAAATTACCCAAAATAAAGTTATACTGAGCCAGCTGTGCATTTCGTATCTTCTTGTTTAGTGTACAACTATGATCTAAATCAACGTCGGCCATGAATCCTTCTTCAAAAAACTCATTATATACCTAGGAGAAAACAAAATGCCTTCATTATGCCGTTGTTTACGACAGCCAGACTCCAAGAAAACCATCCGTGTTCCCCTAGAGCAGGCCCCAGGGCGCTCCAGCAGAGGTGGCCTGTGTGACATGGAGGACAGCAGAAGGGATGACACACTGCTTCTGGGCCTAGCCCGTGAAAGACCGGCTTCCACGCCCGCGCTGACCGCTTGCTCGGGGGGAGCCAGATGCGGCAGTGTGAGGTTGTTCAGGCCGCCTGACCAGCCCAGCTGTGGCGGTGTGAGGACGCCCAGGCCGCCTGACCAGCCCAGCTGTGGGGGTGTGAGGACGCCCAGGCCGCCTGACCAGCCCAGCTGTGGGGGTGTGAGGACGCCCAGGCCGCCTGACCAGCCCAGCTGTGGGGGTGTGAGGACGCCCAGGCCGCCTGACCAGCCCAGCTGTGGGGGTGTGAGGACGCCCAGGCCGCCTGACCAGCCCAGCTGTGGGAGTGTGAGGACGCCCAGGCCGCCTGACCAGCCCAGCTGTGGGGGTGTGAGGACGCCCAGGCCGCCCGACCAGCCCAGCTGTGGGAGTGTGAGGACGCCCAGGCCGCCTGACCAGCCCAGCTGTGGGGGTGTGAGGACGCCCAGGCTGCCTGACCAGCCCAGCACTTGTGGGGGCGAGCCTGGGCAGCAGTCCTGCAAGGCAGCTGCACCAGATGTGCCTAGGGCCCTGGCTTGCAGAAACAGGGATAATACATGTTGCTTTAAACTGCTATATTTTGGGGTGATTTGATACATGGTTAACAGATAATACAGTTTCTTTACCCAAAGAGAGCCTCATGGAAAATAATTGAGGTGTCTAAAAATACCGGCTTCTCAAGAACACTAAGAAATTATAGTTCTGATGTCGCCACATATTTATAATTCATGTGTTACTCCCAATTACTGAAACACAGATCGTTAGAAATCAACGTGTTAGTTACTTAGAATCTGAAGTCCCTGACCTACATGAAACGGGGAGCAAGGTTAGGAAGATGTTACCTGAAGCGCGTATTTCTCACAGGTGGGCCCCACAGGGATGACCATGACCTGACGAGGAGACAGCCACAGAGGCCTAAAAAGTAAACAAACTAGGCATTTTCAGTATCATTTCAGAATGATCAATTACATGATTTTAAAATAACATAAGTTTTTTTTTGTTTAAAAGACAAACTTCATAAGACTACAGTTTCAGTAGAGTGGTATAGAAGTGAACCAGACTTTTCAAAGAGGTTTTTCAAAGCAGAGCCGAAAAAGAGGAAATCTGGAATTTGGACAGAGGGAAGAATGGGTTGGCAGATGAGTGCCAGGGCTAAACGTGCATTCTGCATGGGACCCAGAGTTGTGCTCCGAGCATTTATCCCAGAGAGAGGAAGACTCAGGCCCACACGGTATCCTTCGTGCTAACTGGACAGCAGCTTCGTCTGTAGTAACCTGCTGTGGCATGAACAGCATCTGGCTCCCCAACTCATGCAGATGTTTCAACCCCAAGATCATGGTTGGTGGGCTAGGAGGGCAGAAGCTTGATCCGATTATGGTGTTCAGGCTGTGAGCCCAGGGGAAGCCCTTAGATCACTGGGGGCGTGCCCTTGGAAGGAAGTTGGTGCAAGAGGGCTGGTTCCGTAAGCTGAGTTGTGCCTGGCCAGTCTCTGCCTCCCAGCTTATCAGGTGATCACTTGTTTTCCACACATCGCTACCTTTGCCATCTTTGGCCTTTCAAATGGGGACTGCATGATCTTGTACTGTGAACCTCCACAACTATGAGCCAACATAAATCACCTTCACACACAGCTTGCCTTAGGTATTCAGTTGTAGTAATAAAAGCTAACACACAACACCAAACTGTAAATGCCCCAACGTCTCCAACAGGTGAATGGTCAAACTGTGGTATAGCTACACCACCAGCAATAAAAAGGAACCAACTACTGACACTAACAAAACATGGATGGATCACAAAGGAATTCCACTGAGTAAAAACAGCAGTCTCAAAAGGTCACAGAATATTCTATGCTTTCACTTATGTAATGCTCTTGAAATGACAAAATTGTGGGTGGAGAACAGATTTCATGGTTGCCAGCTGAGTGGACAGGAGTGGGGTAGGACAGGTGCACGAGGGAACTTCAGTAAGTGATGGAACTGCTCTGTATCTTACTGGTGGTGGGTGTGTGATCAGCTGATGTGATAAAATCTTACACAGTGAACACACACACTCACACACTCAAACGCAGGTAAACTGGTGAAACCTGAACAAGGTTGGTGGATTCTATCGATGCCCACTTCCGGTTGTGACACTGTATATAGGTTTGCAAGAAGTACCACTGGGGCAGACTGGGTAATGGTCTTGTCTCCACCCCTTTCTGTTATTTCTTACAAACACACATGAATCCACAATTTCCTCAATCAAAAAAAGGTGGGGGGTGATGTAAGCAGCGTTTGATATGGGGGCATGTTTACTGTCGTTTCTGCCATGATGATGATGGCGAGAGAAAGAAGAAAGCAATGCAATGGGGACTACTCCCAGGTCATGCTTCAGGAATGTACAGGTTAACATATTCACCCTAAAATTATAAAAACACAACAATACATGTGATAAAATTAACAGTGCATCTGATAAAACGCAGCAACACCCCGTATAAAAAGGAAGTAAGCATTTCCTTTTGACCCCGGCCTCACCCTGTGCCCTGACTTCTCCAAGGGAGCCACGCTCCAACTCCTTCTGCTTCCACTCTGGGAGACTCCCACCCTGAGTCTGGAAGTGTCTGACGTCTTGGTGTGTGCAATGTGGAGAGTACGCCCAAGTCCCGTGATGAAGGACTGCGCCCCGTGCACTGCCACACCTCCTGTGTCCCACTCCACCTCATCTACGAATTCCCTGCGGCTTTTTGCCTCTTTCACTACTGCTGTTCCAGTGCAAGAGGCCACCATCTCTCCCCAATGTTAAACTATTTCAATGGGACCAACTGGAAAGAAATATAAACACGCTCATTCACACTTAGGTAGCATAGGCATTTGCACTTCTCCTGGGATCTAAACACTGCTGCTACCGAGGACCCTTGGAAGGCCTGTTTGGGAAACTTCCCATCTTAATGTTCCTGTGTCTCCCCAGACACGGACGTGGGAAAGCACCCATTTGATCCTGGTTCTGCCAATCAGATGCGCAAGTGTGGCGTGCTGACTTGGGGCCGGTGTCACATGGGATCCGTCTCCAAGAGAATTCTTGGAGAAATCTGTGGCAGTGACCCGGTGGTGGCCATCTGGTACCTGGTGCCACTGTGGGGTCCCAGGTGAGCCTCGCGATGGGGGCAGCAGACCATGAACACAGAGCTGCGCAGCACAGGCAGGCGCTCGGCTCATTTCTTAGAGACGGGACAAGAGGCCAGCACGTCACCAGCGGCTGCTGGTTTGCAGCACTACTGCACGCTGTGGGAGGCACCATCACCAGATGTGCTGTTAGCTGCTCCTGAGTGGAGGCGTCATGAGCCTCAATGCTGGCTCAGTACCTACTTTGATATACAATTACTCCCAGGCCGGTGCTGTAGCTCAGCAGGTTAAGCTGCCATCTGCAGTGCCGGCATCCCATACGGGCGCCAGTTCATGTCCCAGCTGCGCCACTTCAGATCCACTCCCTAATGTGCCTGTGAAGGCAACAGAGGATGGCCCAAGTACTTGGATCCCTGCACCCACATGAGAGACCCACATGAAGTTCCGGGCTCCTGGCTCCTGGCTTCAGCCTGGCCCAGCCTTGGTGGTCGTGGCCATTTGGGGAGTGAACCAGAGGATGGAAGACCTGTCTCTCCCTCTTTCTCTCTGTAACTGCCTTTCAAATAAACAAACACATGTTAAAAACGATTCCAGAAGCACTGTGTCTCTGGAAGTGAATATGGCTTAGCAAGTGCATATATGGCGCTGCTGGCAAAAGCAGGGCAGGAAAGAGCAAAGCCAAATCCACAGCCACCGTCTGTCCTAGTAGACGTCGCTGGTCCTTTCATGATGAAAGGGCTCCGCTGCCACACTGAGCAAGTTCTCTGATCACCACTGTGGCGGTGAAGCTGGCCATGGCCACTGCTGAGCTCTGCGCATCCTCTCCTCCCAATCTATCATCTGTTTTCCAATCTAATTGCTTCAGAGTTTCTGACCTCGTGGTCAAAGCAGCAAGCAGGGCATGGCATCAGTGTGACTCGACACCTCTGGCCGCGTTTCCTGCCAGGCAGAGAGGGCCCCGAGATGCACCACTGGAGATCCTGCACCCCAGCACACCTCCTTTGCCCCATCACCCCACATGCGGCTGTGCCACTGTGGCTGTCCTCTTTGGGTTTGGACCAGTGCACCGTTCAGGTCACTTGTGGGTTTTGCTCCTCAGTCAATAGCCACAGGCAACACCCAAAGGTAAATGACAGGGGCTGAAGAGGCGATGGCAGTGCCCAGGGGGGTGGCCCCTGTGTTTCCCAGATGGCAACTGGGTCTCTGAAGGGCTGGAGGCTGGTGAAAGCTCTCTAATTCACCTGAGTGCCTTAAAGGGTAAATGGTGGTTTTATGCCGCTCTGGTTGTTTTTTTTTTTTTTTTTTCAGTTTTGTTTTCTGATCTGGAAAATTGAACCAGAATTCTTTATTTGCCACGTGGGTACTTGCCAATTACAAAGCAGGAGCCACCCATTTTCCCTGCTGACTCTGTCTTGTTAGCCCTGGAGCGTTCCTCGCCCACACCACTTACCACTTCCCCCCGCAGTTCTCTGAGAGAATGGCGACCATCCTTTCCACGGACCCCAGAGTGGCTCGATGGATGATCACAGGTCTCTTCTTGTCATCCCCGTCCTTACTGCAGGAAGAAATCACACCTTAAGTGTTTCATCAGGGTTACGTAATACGTTCGCCTTCCTACTTTATATCTGACTACAGACTTCAGGTTCGTGTTTTGGAGATCTCTATTCACATCATTTGTTTTGCTGTCCTGTTTTCTCAAAAGACTGCCTTATTTGCTCATTATTTTTACTTTCCTTTTAAAGACATTTTACGGACAGCATGGAAAACAGATCCAAAGCCTAGACTCATGTAATGAGCTCCCAGGTACTTTTCTTTCTGCCAGCTTCACACAATGTCAACTGAGAGCCAATCAAACAAGAGACAAATGCACCCCGTTCCTGCCTCTATCTACAGCTCCCACTGTAAACCTCATTTTTCAACAAGTCCGTGGCATCTGTTCTGGAAGCTGACTGGTCAAATTCCCTTAACAGACCTGAAACCCACATGACATTCTCCTTACATTTAATAGTTCCCTCCTCCCATTTGGAAAAAAGTAGAGCAAGCAAATCACATCTGTTAACCACAACAAGGTGAGCCACTCTAAGATCTGTATACCTGTATTTCAGCAGATAAGTTTCACTTTATTACAACAAATATATGACACAAAATTCTTATGAGAAATTTCTATATAAAACTTGTGCCAGCTAGCTACCACTAACACACATACACACAGACCCCAAACAAAGACAGAGAGACCCACTGGTAACCCACTTGTGGTCAGTTATAATTGGTCTCATCACTGCCAATCACTCTGCCAAGGGCAGGTCCAGACTAAATGCGAGCACAGTCTTCCATCTCCATCCCACTGAAAGCTCTGGGGCAGGGGCGGGGAGCCTGTGTCAGTCCTCCACAAACACAGAGGATTCACTATCCCACAACTAAAGCCACTATGGAACATTCCTGAATGTTACTTATTTTTGTGTAGGGAATGAAAGCAAAGCAGGATGACCCTTGCGCAGGCTCCTGGGCTATTCCAAAATTTTTAAAATTTTAAACAGGTATAACCTTAAGAAGGGCACATAGTTACACAAACTATGCTCAACATCATGCTGATCAAATATTATAATCAATGTCAAGTTCCCCCAAAATAATCTCAGCTACTGTGGTTACAATTACATTTGATTTACAGAGAAATGTGGTGGGAATAGCTTCACAATAGCAATTCTTCCCATTCCAAGAGTGTGGTATGAATCTTCATTCAAACCACTCATTTTTTTATGGCTTTTGATAAAGTTTCATGGTGCACATTTCATATAAACTTATATATTTATACTTCTTGTTAAATTTATTCCTAGATATTGTATATTTTGATGCTGCTTCTGAAATGTCTTTCCCCATCGCATTTCTTAAAATTGCTAGGGGCTGGCGCTGTTGTGTAGTGGGTAAAGCCACCGCCTGTGGTGCCTGCACCCCATATGGGCAGTCGGTTCCAGACCCACTTCCACTCCAGGTCTCTGGTATGGCCTGAGAAAGCAGTGGAATATGGTCCAAGTGACTGAGTCCCTGTACCCATGTGGGAGACCCAGAAGAAGTTCCTGGCTCCTGGCTTTGGATAGGCACAGCTCCATCCACTGCAGCCATTTGGGGAATGAACCAGTGGATGGAAGGTATCTCTCTCTCTCTCTGCCCTGTTTCTCTGTAACTCTGCTTTCAAATAAATAAATAAATCTCTTCTAAAAAAGTTATTGCTTATATGAAAGCAAATTGATTTTTGTAGTTCTACCTTATATAGTTCCAGTTTTTCTCATTTGATTCTGTTAATTTTCTAGGTATTTTAACAATTACACCTGATGAACATTTTATCTCTTTCAAATATTTGCACTCCCAGAAAGTGATTTTTAGTCATAGTTCAATGGTAGGTTTATTCGCTTTCCCAGCTACGTGATGTTCCTGTATTTTCTGATAAACGTTTTTTACTGAATAAGGAGATTTCTTCCTCTTTACCTCACAGGAATGAATGCTAAATTTTATCCAATGCCTTTCTGAACTGTTGATTGTAATAAACAACAACACACACATCTATGTGTTACATGGTCCTGGCTTTCTATTCTTAAATTATGACTATCTAAGAAGGGAAGGAAGAGGGTGGAGGAGGGGAGAGGGAGGGGTAGGGGGAGGCGGAGGGGGGAGAAAGGGAGGGAGAGTGAGGGAAAGAAATCTCTCCACTGCTGGGCCAGGCTGAAGCCAGGAGCCAGGAACTCAATCCAGGTCTCCATCATAGGTGGCAGGGCCCAAGTACTTGAGCCATCACTGGCTGCCTCCCAGGGTGTGCATGAGCAGGAAAACGTGGAGTGGAGCTAGGACTTGAACCTGTGCACTCCAACACAGAATGTGGGCATCCTATCCCTAGGCTACACACCTGGCTCCCTTACTTTCTTGGGAGAGTCCTTACTTGATCACGGTGATGGCCTTGATGCCTGGTTTGGTTCCTGTTATGATGGTGTAAGCCTGGTCCGCCTGTCTCTCTCACTGAATGAAACAGCCGCGGAGGTGGGGGGTGGGGATGCACGGGGCAGCTACATGGGAACCTCGAGAATGCCATGGTAACAAGCAGTTGCAGGAGAAGACCAGAAATGGAAGGACCACCAAACCAGCAGAGAATTTCCTGTAATTTTGCCTTCCAGTTTCCTGTGGTCTACATTCAAAGGCCAGCCCAGGAAAAGCTTCCGGGGAACCCTCATTTTCTGACCGAGGGATCAGAAAGGTAACTCCTCTAAGTTATAGAAACAACGGGAGAGCAGGGGTCCTGGATGTCTTCTGTTCTCCCCAACTCACGTGCCCCCACAGCAAGAATAAACAGGCACCTAAGATTCCGAGAACAGGGTCCGTTCCCGGTCCCGAGGCTGTGGGGTTTTTCCCGACTGCTTCTTCCCCATCTCCAGCCTCCCGAGCCCGGTCTCTGCCACACAGGCAGTCATGGAAACAGCCTGGTGGAGTGAGGACATAAGTCCCAGCTTTCTGGTCCCAGCGAAACCAAATGTGTCAGGAGAATCAACAAAAGCAGGAGCTCAAAAGAGCTACCGTGAACTCACTCGGCCTCACCTCCGAGCTGCACAGGCAGAGCTTTGAACTGCACACAAAAGGCCTATGTTACTGAATTTTGGGAGCTGACCACTGGGTGGCGTGCAAACAGGACAGAACTACCCATCAGTACAACTGACCTGACATGCGAACCACAGCCCACAGAAGGGAGGTTGGAAACCAGGACATGAACCTAACTGGGCAGTCTGATGCTACCACAGAGAACCAATACTCTCATTAGGAAATATCATGATCAAAATTTCCAGGATTCAATTCACAATTACTTGGCATAGGAACCACGAGGAAAATCTCAATTTGCGAAGACATCCCTAACCTCCCCCTAACAACAGCACAGTCCAGCAGTGAGAGGACGCCGATGAGGGCGTTACCCAGGACCAGGAAGTCAGGGTGGACACAGGGTGAAGTGGACAGGGAGATTAAAATCTCAGAAACAGAAGACATAAAGAACAGGAATTTTAGAACTGAAGAATACGACGACAGATTTAGAGAAAGTCACTGGCTGGACAAAGGAAATGACGGTGGTATCAGTGAACTCAAGAGACAGAAGAACAGAAAGTGTCCAATCTGAAACGCTGAATGAAACACAAACAGAACCTCAGAACACTGAAACTAAAGCTAAGGGTCAGGTATTCAGGTCAGCTGAGTCTTAGCAGAGAAGAAAAAGTACAGTCCCACCAAAATCAGGAAAAAGCAATGGCTGAGAAGTATTCGATTTTGGCAAAATATGTCACTTACAGACTTAAGCAGCCCAGCACACCCCCAAGCCAGTCCACAGTCACACCTATCACAATCAAACTGCAGAACACCAAGACAAAGAGCAAGAGGACAACGACACATGACATAGAAGGAGAAACGGTGCAGGCTCGTCATCAAAACCATGAGGACGGAAGGACATGCAGCAACGGTTTTGAAGTGCTCAAAGTACACTGACTACCATCTCAGAATTCTCCAAGTATCCTTTCAGAACACAAGTAAAACGAGACATTCTCACCTAAAGGAAAACTAAGACAATTCAGTGCCAGCAGTTCAGCTTTCAATGAATTGTTCAGTCCTACTTTCAATGAATTGTTCAAGTATTTTAGATGTAAAAGAAAGGATTCTATGGATAAAATGAATTATCCTCTCTTTATTACATAAAATAAACTCAAAGTTTAAAATCTTCCAATAGGAAGCCTGTAATACTAGAGCTTCAATGCAAATTCTACCAAACACCCAAAAAAGAAGTTACACCAATTCTAGTAATGTTTTCCATAAAACCAAAAAGAAGAGAACACTTCCTAACTTGTTTTATGAGGCCAGTATCGCTCAGATACTGAAACCAGTCAAAGATAATACGAGAAAACTACAGCTCAATATCCCACATGAACATAGATTCAAACATCCTCAACAAATAATTAGGAGACTGAATCTAGCAACAGTGATACTCCATAACCAAATGAGTTCATCCCAGCCATGCAAGGCTGGTTCAGTATTCTAAATCAATGCAATCCACCATATTGGCATGTTAAAGAAGAAACCTCACAAGATCGTATCAATTTATACTGAAAAATAATTTAACAAAACTCAATACCTACTTCACATAATAATAACATAAAAACTCCTAGAAAACTAGAAATATTGGAGGAACTTCTTCAACTTCAGAAAGAGTACGAAACACCCATACCTAATGCTATATTTAATGGCAAAACACAGTATGCTTTTCTCCTAAGACTGAGAACAAAGTAAGCGTGTCCCTTTCATCCCTCTTATTTTAGCACAGCACTAGGTCACCATTCAGAAATCCAGCTATTACTAACCTACTTGTTCAGCTAGAAGTTCTAGCCAGTGCAATATGGCCAGGGAGGGCAATCAGAAATGAAGAGTTAAGCTGTCCTCAGTTGCAGAGGGTATGACTAGTTACAGGAAATTCTGCAAAAAAAACAAAACAAAACAAAACAAAAAAAAAAAAACACAACTTTTCTAGAACTAATACAAGCAGTGAAAACATGGATAAACAATTAGGACTACAATAACATTTACGCTCATTCCCCAAAGTGACATACTTGGATATTTCTACACATACAACCGCTGCTACATCTAACAAGATATTCCTAGGACTTCCATGCTGAAATCTAGAAAAACTGAGGAACAAAACCGAAGGAGGTCATGGGCTGGAATTCTCCAAGTAGTTATCAGTTCTGGCCAAACTGCCCTCCTGAAGTCATGTGATTCGAATCAAAATTCTCACCACTATGTTTGGTAAATTACAAAAACAAGCAAAACAAACAAAAAAGCAAAACAATCCAAATAGAAACAATTCTGAAGAAGAATAAAGAATTCACATTCCCTCATTTGAAGACTTACTACACGAAGTTACAATCATCAAGGCAGTACAGACGGATAAAAGGATAGTCAGTGGATCATAACAGAACTGAAAATCTAGAAACAGACCCAGATAAGTACATCAAACTGGTTTTTCAAAAAGACAAGACATCAAGGGGTCAGCATTGTTCTGCAGCAGGTTAAGCCTCTGCCTGCAATGCCAGCATCCCTTACAAGGACTGGTTCGAGTCCAGGCTGTTCCACTTCCAGTCCCACTCACTGCTAATGCACCTGGGAAAGCAGCAGAAAATGGTCCAAGTGCTTGGGTCCTACACCCACGTGGGAGAACCAGATGGAGCTCAATGGAGCTCCTGGCTTTGGCTTAGCCCAGCCCCAGCCACTGTGGCCACTGCATCCACTTGGGGAGTGAACCAGGGAATGAAAGCTCCCTCTCTCTGCCTCTCCCTCTCTCTAACTCTGCCTTTCAAATACATAAGTAAATCTTCAAAAAAAAAAAAAAAAAGATAAAGACATCAAATGAATGGCAAAAGAACAGTCATTTCAACAATGGTATTAGAACAATTAGATTTCTAAATACAATGAACCCTAACTCAAACTTGACATTATACACAACAATTAACTCTAAGCATATGTTAGATCCATTTTCTAGATACTTATTCTAAAATTTAAAAGTAGAACATCTTGGGGCCGGTGCTGTGGTGTGGCAGGTAAAGCCGCCGCCTGCAGCACCAGCATCCCATATCTGTGCAGGTTCACGTCCCTCCTTTTCCACCTCTGATCCAGCTCCCCGTTGATGAGCCTGGGAAGGCAGTGGAAGACAGCCCAAGTGCTTGGGCCCCTCTACCCACTGGGAGACCCAGAGGAAGCTCCCAGCTCCTGGCTTTGGATCAGCCTAGCTCTGGCCATTGCAGCCATTTGGGGAGACAATCAGTGGATGGAAGATCCCTCTCTCCCCCTCTGTAACTCTGCCTTTCAAATAAATAAATCTTAAAAAATAAATAAAAGTAGAAAATTTCAAAGATAAAATGCAGGAAAATCTTCACAACCAGTGCTTAGGTAAAGCTTTGCAGTCACGACGCCAAAAACAGGGTCCACAAAAGGAAGCATTTACAAAGTAAATTTCACTGGTGTGAAAACCTAGATGAATGGCAAAATTAAGATGCAAGAAATGAAGAAGCAAGCTACAGATTAGAATATTTGCAAATCACATGTCTATCAAAGGCTTGTACTGAGAATATATAACAAACACTCAAAACTCAACACTAAGAAAATGAATAACCGAATTTTAAAATGGGCAAAAGATCTGAACTAAAGAGAACATATGAATGGCAAATAAATACATAAAAGATGTTAACACATTAGCCACTAACGGTACACAAAACACAATGAATACTACTCCACCCCTATCGAATGCTCAGTAAACAAACTGGACAAGACAAGGCGCAGGCTCTGGAACTCTCACGCACTGCAGAATGCTACAGCTACTAAGCAAAATGGTTTGGCAGTTTCTTACAAAGTTAAACATACACTTACATGACCCGTTTCTAGGTGCTGAGCCTAAAGAAACAGTAACTTCCATTCACATGAAAACCTACACACCTATGTTTACAGTAGCTCTACTCATGATCACCACAAACTGGAAACAAGCCAAATGCCCTTGAATGAACGACTAGGTAAGCACATCTTGATGCATTCACACAGCAGCACACCAGGATCAAAGGACAGAGACGTGCAAGGACATGGGTGGGTCTCCGAGGCCTGATGCTACGTGAAGAAGCCAGTCTTGTGGCTCCATCTACGTGACGCTCCAGAGAGGACAAAACAATTACGATGAGGACCATATTAATGGATACTAAGTTGATTGGGCTGAATCCCAATTGAGGAGGCGGGCGTTCCATCTACACATGTTAAAACTCAATGACTTGCACACACAGACACACACACACACAGCCAACGTCAGTGTATGCTAAGAGACTTTTTAAAACAGAAGTCACTGGTTTGCAGTGATGACGTGCCCTCTTTCCCCTGCTTTCTCCGGGAGATTACTTACTCATCCTAGAGACACAGACCCAGTGCCAGCTCTTCATCACCTCTCCCCAGCTGTCTCCGGGGAGTTCAGAGCTTGGGCAGTGTTTTGTGTAACATTGTTGAGGTCATTGATGCTATGGGAACTTGTCTTCCTTCCCGCACCTGACCATGGCCTCAGGAAATTCAAGCTGTTCCCCAACCAGATCACCAGCAGATAAACAAGTGTGTGAGGTACTTCAACAAGTTTATGGGAAATGGAATTAAAAGAGTTTTATTTTGGTGCAAAGTTGATAGCTTCAGTTTTTTCCACAAACTTTTGGAAGGCTCCTTATATGCATGAATTCCAAAATTTTTGTTAAATAAACATCTTTATTTTTTTAATTTATTTTTATTTTTTGACAGGCAGAGTGGACAGTGAGAGAGAGAGAGACAGAGAGAGAAAGGTCTTCCTTTTGCCGTTGGTTCACCCTCCAATGGCCGCCACGGCTGGCGCGCTGCGGCTGGCGCACCGTGCTGATCTGAAGCCAGGAGCCAGGTGCTTCTCCTGGTCTCCCCTGGGGTGCAGGGCCCAAGCACTTGGGCCATCCTCCACTGCACTCCGTGGCCACAGCAGAGAGCTGGCCTGGAAGAGGGGCAACCGGGAAAGAATCCGGCGCCCTGACAGGGACTAGAACCCGGTGTGCCGGTGCCGCAAGGTGGAGGATTAGCCTAGTGAGCCGCGGCGCCGGCCTAAATAAACATCTTTTAATTTTTCCATGAACTTCTTAAAGCACTACTGTATGCTGAGTATACAGTAGGCTAGACATTCACTAAGACTTTTGTATTTATAATACTCAAATGACAAACTACTCAAGTATTAGTACTCTATTATTTATTACATTCTGTAACTCACCTAACATATGTGAGATTAAATCGAATAGGCAGTTGGAAGTCCAGCTGAATTGTTGCACATTGATGGTATCTGCCAATAGCATCTTTGATTTTTATATCAATCTGGAAATTAAACAATGTTTGTTAGAGACAGGTTTTACTTTTCTTATAAGTATAGTCATTTTCAAAGCATATGATCTACTTACTTTAGGGCCATAAAATGCTCCATCTCCTGGGTTCAATTTCCATGGTTTTCCAAATTCCACCAAGCTATTCTGCAGTTGCTATTTTTTGGAAGAAGAGAACATTTATAACTTCTCCATCAATGTATTTTTTTTGACAGGCAGAGTTACAGACAGTGAGGGAGAGAGACAGAAAAGTCTTCCTTTTCCATTGGTTCACCCCCCAAATGGCCACTACGCCAGTGCGCTGCGCTGATCTGAAGCCAGGAGCCAGGTGCTTCCTCCTGGTCTCCTGTGCCGGTGCAGGGCCCAAGCACCCGGGCCATCCTCCACTGCCTTCCCGGGCCACAGCAGAGAGCTGGACTGGAAGAGGAGCAAGTGGGACAGAATCTGGTGCCCCAAAGGGGACTAGAACCCAGGGTGCCGGTGCCGCAGGCGGAGGATTAACCTAGTGAGCCATGGCGCCGGCCCATCAGTGTAATTTTACCTTTTTGTCATGTAACTCACAAAAAGTAAACTAAACAGAATAATTGAGTTATCATAAATCTTAATTACGCAATATTCAATTCAATAGACATTCACTGGGCATCTTTTACGTTCAGTGAAGTTGAGCTGGGACAACATGACAATCAGGAGACACGTGCCGTCAAGAAGCACCTGTCCATTTGGAGGAGGAAGTAGTTTTCCAGTGAATTCCAGGTCCGAGTTCAGAGAAGGGACCCTGGGCCTTCTTCCAAGGCTGCCTCTGCCTTACACACTAACCAGCGTCTGCCTCCCCCACCAGTTCCGAGGCCTGCTGCTCCTCCTCCAGAAACGGGCACCAGAGCCTGTCTCTCCCACGCTGCACACAGTGGAGACAAGGCCAAGACACAGGCCTTCCCCCTTCTCTCCTGCTTTTCCTCTCCTCTGTACAGCTGAGGGCGGCAGCTACTGAGGGCTTCGATGCTCAGGGGGCAGGAGCGGGAGGCCCCACGCTGGGCTTTGCCTAACTCACCGGGAGCTTCAGCTGAGCCTGCGGAGAGGCAGCCTGCTCTGCAGGGAGTGGCTGCCCACACGGGCGTTAGTCTAAGGAGCCGCTGAGCCTTCTGGCCCTCCTGTGATCACAGCTCTCTGGGAAGCACGGGGCCATGTCCTGCGTCCTGGCCAGAACGCGGTCAGACCAGCACCCCAGTGCAGGTCAGCATCCCAGCTCCTGGCGCCTCATGGGGCTGCAGCTGGCCCTCCCTGGGGACGGCGTGGCTCCCCAGGTCCCCTCGGGAGCAGTCTGGAGACAGGAGCTCATTCCTGAGATCCACCCGCCAGGAGCAGCTTCCTCTCTCCTTCAGACCAAGGGCAGCCCCCTCCAGAGAGGCAGCCGCCCTGCTCTGCTCGGTTCTTGGGGAGAGGAGGAGGCCCTGCCTCTGCAGGTCGCTAGTGACACCCGGAAGGCGGGGTCTCCTGGGGAATCCACAAGCCCAAGAAAGGCCACATTCAGGCAAGAGTGTAAAGCAGAGGCCACTGCCAGTGACGGGGCCTGTGGGCACAGAGGGAGAGGAAGGCCAACAGGAGCAGCCACGGTTAAGAAGCCAAAGCTAAGGACACCTGAGCTGTACGCCAGGGACATCTCTGATGCCACTTCAGAGACGCTGAAGACAGGGGCCACATGCCCGTCTCCTTGACTCCCGGAGCGGTGGTCTTTACCGGGTAGGAAATGCCCTTCCCTTGGTGCACGGTACAGTCCTCGGTGAGCTGGGCACGGCTGCGGCACTGCTGAATGCATCCGATCAAATGGAGCACGAGCGGGGAGATGCCCGGCCCACACCGCCCAGCCCTCTTTCAGCTCCCCACACCCAGCCAGCTCCAAACGGTGGGAGCGAGGGCGTGGCTGGACAGTAACTGACACCAACACCTGCTGGACACTTACGTGTGCGCAGTACTGAGTACTGTGCCCAATACTTCATGAAAACGGTTTCACTGCAGCCCATGTAACCTTCCGAAGCAGGAGCTTCCCCTAAGACACTCACCAGGCCACCACCATCACCACTCCTCGCTTGGTCCTGACACGCAGCAGCCACCTCCACTGCACTCACAGAGCCCACGCCTGAACGCAGGAACACAGGCTCCGGAGCCAAGCCCAGTCCTCCTTCCTCTTCCTGCTCCCACGGGGCTGGCAGGTAAACTGACCCTGTGTCCCTCCCGGGGTGGGGACATTAGACCTTCTTCCTCCATGCAGTGGACATGGAAGAAAAATCTGGGACGGGCATGGAGGAACAGGCCCCATTCAGATCTCAGGTCTAAATGGCCTCTAGGCATAATAACATAACTCAAGTTAGTAACACCGCACTTCTCGGATTTTACGCCACGAAAGCAGCATTTCTCTGTTACTCCTGCTGGTGTGTGTTCAGCTCCCTGAGTATTACAGAGGAGAACCGATGGGCAGGCAGGGAGCCTGGCCATAATGCCATCCTCTTTTCTAGCAAAAGCCAACATGGGAGACACACTACACCCAGTTCATGTTGAGTAAGACAAAGGCGGCAGCATGAGGAGCTCCTTCCTCTCCGTTTTTCAAAGCTGTGAGGTGATACCTGCGCCTGGGGGTCTTCAGACAGAGGGTGGCACTGTGGGTGCTGCCTGTGAGTGGGACCCAAGCACCAGACGTGTGTGTCTGCACTTAGAATGCACAACCCTGGGACGCCACGAGGCAGACCAAGATGACTCTACGGACGATGGCTTAAAACATCTGCAGAAGACTCCTAGAATGACATTTGCTGTATATAACACTCTGACTTCAGAATCAGCCCTTAAGGCTTCCTGGTCGGGCTGAAAGGCCTGTGAGAGCATCTCAGGCATGGGAAGCCAAGACTCTGCAGCAAAAAATCTACACGAGGGATCTCAGTGAGACCTCAGTGGAAAGAAGGGGCCATCGAAGGACGTACTTTTCTCTGAAGGGAGGAGAGAACTTCCACTTTGCCTATGGCTGAGTCCAAATACTGATGCAGTCTATGGTCACAAAAGGCTTCCACAGCCTTGGCAGCCATGGCAAGAGCCTTGGGTGATCACTGAGGTCATAAATAAGAGTGTCAATTGTTAAAATAATGACAGACAGAAGTCAGTGTGCACCTGCTCCTCATGTAAGACTTCTGTCCTTAATGAGTTGTACTATGAGAGTTAACTTCAAATTTTGTTCTCAAACTGTACTCTATATGTTGTGTGTGTGGGGGGGTGGGTGGGTGTGGGTACAAACTGTTAAAATCTGTGCTTAACATGGAGTTGGTCCTCTGTATATAAAATTGAACTAAAAATGGACCATAATGAAGAAGGGGATGGGAGAGGGAGAGGGAGGTGGGATGGGAATCAGGGTGGAAGTGGGGGTATGGGGGAAAAGAACCACTATATTCCTAAAGTTGTACCTATGAAAAATGCATTCATTAAATAAAAACTTAAAAAAAAACATAGAATAACTTATGCTGCCAAAAAAAATCTGCAGAAACCAAAAGTTCCTGCAAATCAGAATTCTTCTAAAACCTCATGCTGGGTATTAGTGATTGGCACTAAAAAAAATATGAATGAAAGCTTGACAGAACTTGAAAGTGTGAAACAAATGTAAAGTATTACTATTATCGTTAGTTAGGAAGCTAACCGGATAACTGCATTCTACCACCTGCACACTTATCTCGTCACTTCCAAAATTTCAATGACAAAGTATCGCTCCCCTGGCAAGGGAGGGGAGAAGGAAAGGTGAGTGCTGTGTCTGTCCTCACCTTCTCAGCTTCAGCCCACATCTCGCTCTCTCCCAGGAAGTTCTCAGGCCTTGTGGACAGGTTTAATTGGAAAGTGAAGCCAAATGTTGAGTAAACGGATTGCAAAAACTGCAGACACCCCTTGATTTCTTCTTCAATCTGAAATTAGAGCAAAAGAAATATTCAAATGGAATTCATTATGGCACTCTGCAAATACAATGATTCTTCTCAGTCAGAGGCAGGCCTGTTTTACCGGGGCCCTGGGGGTCGCTGTGGAGACCGCCCTCCAATGCCCACTCCACCCTTCCTGTGCGTGCCGGGCACGTGCAGCTGCCGAGGCTCCTGTCGTTGCAGCAGCAGCAATGGCATCGCAGGTGAAGGACACTGCCGGTGCACAGGAGCAGCGGAAGCGCCAGAGGACGAGGGTTCCCGTGGAGCGGCAGGGCAGCGCTCTCAGAGCAGGGAAGCACTGAGGGTGGAGGCCCGGGACCCGAGAGGCGGACTGCACGGGCAGGGGAGGGAGGGCAGCAGGTGGTCAGGCGGAAGCCAGCAGGGGCCAGAGGAAGGGAAAGGCTTCAAAGTAGGCAACGGGGAGCCGATGGACGGAAGCTCGGGAAGGGGCAGGGGCAGGAGGAACTGCAGGGACTCCATACTGCCCCATGGCTCCATGTTCACCGCCCGCTCTCCCCATCTCCACTGTGACCAGGGACTTCTCAAAACCCAGGTGTGGCTCAGCGCCTTCAACAGTTCTGAACAGCACCTGCAGTTGTTCTGTAAAACAGTAACGGGCAAATGCTACTCCCCAGTACCTTGTTCCCATTTGTTCTTCCCCAGATGCAACTGTGGTTTTCAGCTTTAAAAGCCTGAGCCTTGTCTATGCTCGGGGTGGGGTGGGGTGGGGTGGGGTGGGGTGGGGTGGGGTTGGGTTGGGGGTGGCAGAGATCTTGCGTCTCCTCTGGGCCACCAGCTAGTGAAGGACTCATTCCAAATTCTCAGTGTGTGGCCTTCTCAGGGACTGGCTTCAGGTACAACAAAGGGACGAACTTGGCCCGGTCTGTTCTTTCCCAGAACAGGAAATGGATTAGCAAGACTGAAGGTCCCTCAGGAAGCTGCAGGGTAAAAGCCGAGGAATGAGAGGATGGTGACCTGAACCGGAAAGCGATGCCTAACCCCAGATCACAAAGACTTTCCCCAATTTTTCTTCTGGAAATTTTGTTATTTTCAGGTTTTACATCTAGGCCATTTTACATTTCCATTTGCATAGTGGAAGGAGTTAAGAATCTAAATAAAAACCAGTTATCTATATAAATGTAGACCTACTTCTGGGTTCTATTCTGTACTATTGACCTATTTATCTTGATGACAATACTACGCTGTTATAATCACTGTAGCTTCACAATAATTCTTGAAACCAAGCACAGTGAGCCTTCTAATGTTCTTACTTTTTATTGTTTCTTTTTCCACAGCTTTTTTTTTTTTTAACCTTTTCTAGCTTCTTTTGAGTTCCATACAAATTTTAGAATCGGCTTGTCAATTTCTACAAAGAAGTCTGAGCATTGCTTGGGACTGCACTAACTCTACAGATCAATCTGGGGAGAACTGACATTTTAGTAGTATTTAGTTTAGACTTCCAGTCCAAGAACAAGGTTATTTCTCCGTTTATTCGGGCTTTCTCTTGTAGTTTCCACTGTGTACGTCCCCCACCTTTGTAACAGTCAGCTTGAGATGACACAGTAGTTAGTTTTTATATACTGATAACTCATATTACAATTTTCCTAAACTCACTCACTAGTTCTAATAACCTTTTTGTCGTTCCCATCTGATTTCTGCATAGGCGGCCACGATGCCCAGTAGCTCCATCCTGACCACACTAATGGGATCCCCAGCCGTTAGTAACAGGAGGAGAGGATTTCGCTTCCTTGTTCCTGGTCCATGGAGAAAGCATTTGAGCAGCACAGTGAGAGGTTCTTCACAGATGCAAAGTTCTCTGTCATCTCTAGTTTCTGAGAGTTTTTTTATTTGTTTGTTTTTTAATGAGAAATGGGCATCGGATTTTGCCAAATGCCTTTTCAGGAATCTACTGAAATCATGTTTTCTCTTTTTCAGCTTGTTAACTGGTGAATTACAATAGTTTATTTTCTAATGTTAAGCTAATCTTCCATTCCTTGGATACAGCCCACTTGATCAAGATATATTATCATGTTTTAAATATTATTGAATTTGGCTGGTGCCGTGGCTCTCTTGGTTAATCCTTCCAAAGAAGCTCCTGGCTCCCAATCGGTCTAGCTCTGACCACTGCAGCCATGTGGAGGGTGAGATGGAAGATCTCTCTAACTCTGCCTTTCAAATAAACAAACTTCTTTTTTTTTTTTAAGAATTACATCTTCCTTAATTATTGGCAGAATTCACTAGTGAAGTTACCTGGGCCTGCAGCTTTCTCTGTAGGCAGGTTAGCTATTAATTCAAAATTTCTATAGTACATACAGGACTACTCAGACTACCTATTTCTTCCCAAGTGGAGTTTGATAATCTGTATTTTTTAAAGATTTGTTCACTTCAGCTGAGAGATGTTAAATTTATTGGGATAAAGTTGTTCATAACATCGCCTTATTAGCTCTTTAACATCTACAGAGTCTGGGCCGGGTGCTGTGGCATAGCCGATAAGGCCGCCACCTGCAGTGCTAGCATCTCGTATGGGTGCCTGTTCGAGTTCCAGCTGCCCCACTTCTAATTTCAGTTCTCTGCTATGGCCCGAGTCCTTGGGCCCCTGCACCCATGTGGGAGACCCAGAGGAGGTTCCTGGCTCCTGACTTCAGATAGGCACAGCTCTGGCCATTGTGGCCATCTGGGGAGTGAACCATGGAAGACCCCTTCCCCCCTCTCTCTCTCTCTCTCTCTTTCTCTCTTTCTCTCTCTCTGCTTCTGCCTCTCTGTAGCTCTTTAAAATAAATAATCTTAAAAAAATAAAGTAATATCTATAGAGTCTGTAATGACATCTCTCTCATGACTAGTATTTTAAATTTATACCCTTTTTTTCTCTGTATGCCTAAATAAAGGTTTATCAATTTTAGCGATATTCTCAAAGAATCAGTTTCTGGATTTTTTTTTTTCTAGTTCAATGATTTTTGCTCTGTTCTTCCATCATTTTCTTGGGCTTACACTGGCTCTGATTTTCTCTTCTGGTTCCTTAAGCAGAAACTGAGGGGGTTTATCCGAAATCTTTCTTCTTTCCCAGTAGGTACTCAGTACCAAAAATGCCCCAAGCAAACACCATCTTGATAGCATTCCACAAATTTTGTCATGTTCCAACTTTGTTCATTATATAATATATTCTAATTTCCCTTTGGGTTTCTTCTTTGATCTATGAGGTATTTAAAAGTGCGTTATTTATTTTTTGCATATTTGGGGTCTTCCAAATCTCAGCTTTTTTGTTATTTTTTACTTTAATTCCAAAAGATCAGATAACGTTTTAACTAAAGTCCCTTTAAATTTCTTAAAACTTGTTTTATGGCCCAGAATGTCATGGTAAATATCCTATGTGTACTTTCAAAATGTATATTCTGCTTCTGTTCTATAATTATCAATGTGGTCAAACTTTTTGATCGTGACTCCCTTACTTTTTAAAAAAGATTTATTTATTTATTTATTTAGACAGGCAGAGTTAGACAGTGAGAGAGAGAGAGACAGAGAGAAAGGTCTTCCTTCCATTGGTTCACCCCCCCCCCCCAAAATGGCCACCATGGCCGGCGCACTGTGCTGATCCAAAGTCAGGAGCCAGGTTTCTCCTCCTGGTCTCCTATACAGGTGCAGGGCTCAAACACTTGGGCCATCCTCCACTGCACTCCCGGGCCACCGTAGAGAGCTGGACTGGAAGAGGAGCAGCCGGGACAGAATCCGGTCCCCCAATCGGGACTAGAACCTGGGGTGCCGGCGCCACAGGCAAAGGATTAGCCAAGTGAGCAGCAGCGCCAGCCAAAAAAGATTTATTTATTTGAAAGGCAGAGTTACAGAGAGAGAGACAGAGACAGAGACAGAGAAAGAGAGAGAGAGAGAGATTTTCCATCCACTGGTTCACTCTCCAAATGGCTACAACTGCTTCGGATGGGCCAGATGAAAGCGGGAGCCAGGAACTCTATCTGGGTCTCCCACAGGAGTAGCAGGGACCCAAAGAGTTGGACATCTGCTGCTGCTTTCCCAGGAGCACGAGCAGGGAGCCGGACTGGAAGTGGTGGAACTGGTGCTCACATGGGATGCTGGCATCACAGGTGGCAGCTGCCCCACAATGCCAGCTCCTACAGTGACTCTTTGCACGACAATCTTTGTACTAAAAAGTAAACTATGTTCTAGGCAATACTGAACAAAAAACACACCGAATCCCTTAAAGTATTCCACTTAATGGAATTTAAGTTAATAAAATAGAGGATGCCACATGAAAAAATATGTTTCATGTCAGGAGATCATATTGACCCAGCTCAGAGTCGCAGATGTCAGAGATGAATGGATCCTCAGCCCGAGACCAGCACAATGGAGCACTGTGTCCAGGGCCGCACAGTGACGCCGTGACAGCCACGCCCACCCCGTGTTGCCGCACCTGCTCCACGGTGCAGAAGATGTGAGCGTCGTCCTGCTGGAAGCGCCTGACGCGGGTCAGGCCGCTCAGAGTCCCCGACAGCTCGTTTCTGTGAAGAACTCCAAAGTCAGCAAACCTAACAGGCATTTCCCTCCAGGACCGTGGACGATGGGCAAACATCAGACTAGAAAAGATGAAAAACAGCACAGCTTTTACAGAGGAGAAGAGGGCTCATCCACACAGCTGGACATTACAATTAGGCCTTGCCATGGTTTGGAAGTGGTTCAGTGGCTCCGTGTGATGAAATGTAATCCGCATGGGGAGGTACTGAGAGGGTGGACCTTAATCCAGCTATGGTGTTTACCAGAGGGGCCTGTGGGAGGTGATCAGGGTTAGACAGTGTCACTAGGGCACAGCCCCCATGACTGAATCCTGTTGCTTTCAAAGAGGCAGAGGGACCACACACACACACACACACACACACTGACATACACATATTCACATCCTTTCATACTCACACATACATACTCTCACCTACTTTCTCACACACATACTCTCTCACACACACACACACACACTCCCTGTCTACAGCCACAGGGCACATGGCGCTGCCTTCTGACTCCACCAGCAAGAAGGCCATCACCAGACACAGAGCCCTGAACCTCCAGAACTGTAAGCTAAACAAACCTCTTCTCTTTCCATGTCAGCCTGCCTCAGGTATTTTGTTATAGTGACGAAAACAGACTAATCCAAGCCTCAAGATTTTTTTTTTTTTTTTGACAGGCAGAGTGGACAGTGAGAGAGCGAGAGACAGAGAGAAAGGTCTTCCTTTTTGCCGTTGGTTCACCCTCCAATGGCCGCTGTGGCCGGCGCACCGCGCTGATCTGATGGCAGGAGCCAGGTACCTATCCTGGTCTCCCATGGGGTGCAGGGCCCAAGGACTTGGGCCATCCTCCACTGCACTCCTGGGCCACAGCAGAGAGCTGGCCTGGAAGAGGGGCGACCGGGACAGAATCTAGCGCCCCGACCGGGACTAGAACCCGGTGTGCCAGCGCCGCAAGGCGGAGGATTAGCCTAGTGAGCCACGGCGCCGGCCCCAAGCCTCAAGCTTTACACACTCCTTACTCTGGTTCACAGATGGCTGAGTTAAAGCTGCTCCATGACTTACTGAGCTCTGACGTCACATCGCGCTAGAACTCTGAGAAACAACCTTGTCTGGCTCTTCTTCTCTGCTGCTGCTCCCTGTGAAGTTCATTTCTAGTCCTCACAACGGCTCCTCAGTGAAGCCCTGGGGACCTGTCCTCCCACAGGGCTCGCAGAGCAGCCCGGACGCGCCTCTGCCCCAGCACTGCTGCGCATTTTACAACTGAGGGCATCAGCACATCCCTGCCCCTCTGCTCACGAGCCCCAGGGTGCCGCACACTGTGTTGAAGCACTCGAAGCACACGAAGCACTCCACAAACATTCACTTTGGCTGAAGACTTGTCACCTGCGGAAAGCACTCCCGGCTCCCACTCCCATCACCACAAGTCCCCCATGCTGTCCTCCCTCATTCTGAGCACAGAAACATAAAACTGCGGTCCGGTCTTGTTCAGCCCTGCTCCCAGGTAAAACTGCAGGCCACAGCTTAAAGTGGCACCTAATGGGAAGGTGGGCTGGGTTTAAAGTGGGAGGCAGTGGCTTAGGCTCCATTTGTCTACAAAGAGAGGTGGGAGGGGCCGTCACTATGGCACCCTAGGTTAATCCTCCGCCTGTGGCGCCAGCATCCCATATGGGTGCCAGATTCTGCCCTGGCTGCTCCTCTTCCAGTTCAGCTCTCTGCTGTGGCCCGGGAGAGCAGTGGAGGATGGCCCAGGTGTTTGGGCCCTGCACCCGCATGGGAGACCAGGAGGAAGCACCTGGCTCCTGGCTTCGGATAGGCATGGCGCCATCCGTAGCAGCCATTTGGAGAGTGAACCAATGGAAGGAAGACCTCTCTCCCTCCCTCCCTCCCTCCCTCCCTCTCCCTCTCTCCCTCTCCCTCTCTCCCTCTCTCTCTCTCTCTCTCTCTGTAACTCTACTTGTCAAATAAATAAAATAAATCTTAAAAAAAAGAGAGGTGAGAGATTATTGGCCCATTGGTTTACATAATATTAAAGTTTTAAGTACATCACCTTGAAGTCGAAATTCTTTAAATCTTTACTGAGGAAAGCAAAGAACTTTGTTCACTATTCAGAGATTGAACACTCAGCTTCTGAGGTCACTTACAGACACCTGTGTACTGATGGGACAAAGCCGTAACAGCTGGATCTGTGTGTGTGCAGAATTCTGTTCATTCACTTCCAGCTGTAAAATGCACTCGTCTTACAAGGTTTGCAGACCACCCTCTGATAACTGCAGTTTTTCATGGACATACCTTTGGTTCACATACCACTAAGCAGGAAAAGCAGCCTATTAATTGAATTGTGACATAATGGTAAGATGCATCTAGGTCTTAGAGAGATGCTGAATATGGGGGAAAGGTGACTCCAGGAACTCATTGATTACGACCTCACTGACCTTGCTACAATCAACCCACACAGTACCTAAGAACTCAATGTCTGCAAATATGTACGTCTGAAGTGTATTACTATTAGGAAGACAGATGTTATAATGACATAAAATTGATATACAAAATTATCCTCTAAGAAGCACAAAAAACCTCAATGGTTTCAAGCTAACGTTCCAGGTCTGCCAAGGATCAAACGTGTTTTCAAGGATAAACTTAATTTCCAGCATGAAAGAACTTGGTAATGATGACTGGCAAGTACTTTTCAGATTAAAGCAACCCCCTGACTGCAAAAAGCAAAATAATAACACAAGGGGTCTTCAAAAAGCCCATGGAAAATGTATATCATGTAAAACTACGAGAGGACTTAAAAAAATCTTTGGCACCAAAATATACTTATCTTTTTAAATTAAAAAGTGTGTATTTTCATCTACTTGAAAGGCACAGCAATAGATATGGACAGAGAGAGATTTTCCAGTCACCTGTGCACTCCCCAAATGCCTGCAATAGCCAGAAGTGGGCCGGGCTGAAGCCAGGAGCCAGGAACTCCATTTGGGTCTCCTACATGGATGGCAAGGTCCCAATTACCGGGCCATCACCCACTGCCTCCCAGAACACATAGCAGAAAACTGAACTGCAAGTAGAGCAGCTGGGCCCCAAACCACTCCAAAATGGGACGTGGGCATCCCAAGTGGCAGCTTACCTCGCTGTGCCGTAACACCTGCCCCTAAACTTCTTCTATTTCATTTTTCCACAAACTTTTTGAAGCCCCCTTGTATTAAAAGCGAACTATGAGGAAGTGTGCAGTGGGCTGCTAGGCAAGGACCTGATTCTGTCATACTCACCAGTGTCCTGGACAGTTCATGGGTTTGAGGGCGAAAGTCTCCTTCTCAACACGGAAGGTGAACATGTTCTCGCTGTAATGCTGCCAGTGGCCCGAGGTCTCCCAGAGCTTGCTGTTGTACACGTTGGGGGAGAGCACTTCCAGGAAGCCCCGCTTGTGATACTCCTCCTTTAAGACGAAGGCCTTAACGTTAAAACCTGCTGGGACACATCACAGTCTCACGCAAAGTAACACCCTGGGCGAGTGTTTTTAAACCTGTTATGGTGTCTCGAGTTAATTTGTGCATCCTCAGCGTTAGGTGCGGTGGTTTCTGGACCACAGGAACAGCTTTCTGTGGGCTCAGGGCCATTCCCCCGAGGCACAGCTGTTTTACACTGTGTAACACCACGCAGCACGCAGTGACCCAATTCTTCAAAAATCAGTCACTGAAATAAGAAATGTAGAGACAAACCTGCTGTACTGCAAATTCTAAAACTCCACATCCTCGAGGAACAGAGGGCAGTTTCCCTATGACGTGGGAGGCCATTTTCTCCCTTAATCAGCCTGAATGCACGTTGTATTCATAGCTTTAACCGATTTAATTTTAAACAAAGTTGGAAACTGAACTTGTCACACTGGAGCCATTGCTCTCTGTGCAGGCGTGAGCAGGCTCTTCTCCCTCCCAACCCATTACCAGCTTCCCTAATGAGTCACCGGGGACAGCAGAAGACAATTTTCTCAAGGGAAGCTCTTAGTTATATTACCCTGTTTTCTTCTTCAAGGTACCAGTTTGGGAAAGTTAAAAAAAAATAAAGATTTCCCAGGATTAGGACACAAAGAGGCAACTGCAACCTCCCGCACTGGCAGGGGCCGGCTCTGCTGCTCCTCCGCAGGGCGAGGCCTCAGTCCGTGGTGGAGAGCCTGGGTCTCAGCCGCCAGGAGGCCGCTGTATCTGCCCTTTGTTTGCACTAAATTAGAAAACTTCAACAGACTTCTAGACCTTAGGACTGGCAGTCCGTTCTGAGCAGCTACGTCAGCTGGTTCTAGAGACTGGATTCAACGAGACCCTGTGTCCATTTCTGCCGCAGACCACTCTCCAAGCCTCTCACCCCCTCCACGCTGCCAGTGGTTTCCAACCACTCGGAACACAGTCACGCCGGGAACGGACGCTCTGCTGAGGCGTTCAGAGATCATTTTAAGCCACCCCTGCACCAGGCTGGACGTTCCCTCCCCCAGAGTGCTGGCATGAGGAGGCTGGGCCTTCGGCAGGTGACGCAGTCACAACGGGATGGCCCTCATGCATGGGACCGGTGCCCATGTAAAAAGGCCCTCAGCCTCCTTCAGCCGCGCCAGGGCCCAAGTCGGCAGTGCGCACCTGGGAGAGCGTCTCCCCAGAACCCAGTCGTGCTGCACTCCCAACCCAGACCTGCAACGTGTACAACTGGGCTGCAGAAGCCACCTGGGCTGCAGGTCCCACCACAAGGCCCCGCCCCTGTGAGTCTATCCTGTCTGTCAGAATTCCCCCTTCCCAGGATGCCCTGCTTTCACCGGGGACCTGGGGAAGGGCTGCCATGAGAACATGCTGTGAAGCTCCACACGGAATTTTCTGGAGGAGCCACACACCTCCCAGGGGACCACATCACCTCTGGGACTTCTCACTGCCGCTGGGGACGAGGACCAGAGAGGTGCCGAGTGTCTCCCTCTCCACTTCCCTTCCCCCACCCCCTTCTCTCTCTGGCTGACTCCCAACTTCACCCACATGTGTGTGTCTGGTTTATCACTCTGAGCACCATATGTGTGTCTGTGCTTAAACTGCCTTTTAAGGAAAAGGCAAGGACCTGGGTTATAATTAAACCCCACTCTCCCTCAACGCTAGCATTTGTCACAGTAGCCCAAACTGACTGGACAACCCACTGTGAGTGAAGGGGCAGCGGCTGCATTTCTCTACCCAACACACGCATACTATGTGGGCTGCCTTAACTCTCAGTAAAAACGCATGTGGGTTTGTCTCTACACACGCACACACATACACACCAGAGAGAGAGAAAGCAAAATGGCTACGGGGTACCAGTTGATGACTCCAGGTACAGGAAATATGGATGGATGTTCACTGCACTCTAATCACTTTTCCACAGAACTGAACTCCTCAAAGGTTTGGAGTGGGGGAGATACAGCTGACCGCCTGCCACCAACTTCTGTCTCTGAAGCACAATGGAAACCCAGCTCTGGGAGACGGGGCTCTCGCCCTGAGGCCGAGCAGTCCCCTGAGGAAACCCTGACCACTCGCTCTGCACCTGCAGGAAGCGCTCAAGGGAAGCCGCACGTGAACCTGTGAGCCGGCCCTTGGCGGCTCTTACATAGCTCCTTAGCATCAGCTAACCAAGGAGATGTCTCCATCATTTCTCATTCTAAAAACTACAGCAATTCACAGAAATGGCCCCTTCCCAAGCCGTGAAGACAGTTTTTACAAAACTACCACTACAAAAAGACGAAGAGGAGAGGAAAGGAGATGACGGCATAGTGCTTCAGAATACGGCAGCAGGTGGACGAGTGCCAATGGCCTGGGAGGCCCGGGGAGGCTGCAGCCACGCCAGGGCACGGGACTCCCAGCAGTCACCTTGCCTTGGCAGGGCGTGGGATTCTAGGCTTTCTGCTTTTAGGGCATTGTTGGCTGTCTGACATTTTCTATTATGTCACTGAGAATCTCCAGGCCACTCTGATACCTAGTCCTCTATCCATGGCATTTTTCTGTCTGGAAACCTCTAGGATCCTTTCCTTACCCTTGGAGTTTTAGAATCTCTTAGGAATGCATCTTGGTACTCAAGGAAACGAGTGCTCTGTTGGAGCTGAGACAGCCTTGGCCACGTGGGGCTCGCCGTGCTGTAGAACAAACAGGCAGACCATGGCTAGCCCTGCCCAGGAAGACTGACGGCCACTGCTGGGGGAAACTGTAAAGCAAGGACCGCTAGGTCTGCAGGAATTCAGTGTTTCCGTGATAAAACATGGCAACCTTAGACAGATGAGATTTCTAAGAACTTGGCTCCCACGGGAAACTCTGGGCCATCCACTGTAACAGGTCCAGCTGTGTCCAGCTAAACGGGTATCTGAAGTTCCAACTCCCAGTTCTTCAGAACGTGGCCTCTGAGGCTGGCGCTGTGGCCTAGTGGGAAAAGCTGCTGCCTGCAGTGCCGACATCCCCCATGGGTGCCGGTTCGAGTCCTGGTACTTATGAGGTACAGGAAGTAACAGCACGAGAAGGAACATGACGCTGGGAGTCCCCGCGGGTCACCCCGAATGACAGGCTTACAGCACTGAAGACTCCAGTCCGTGAACCTGTGCTACGTACAGGTCGGCATCTCACACAGCGGCGTCCTCACTCTCTCCTCTGGCACTGTCAAGTCCCTGAGTCATGCCCTGGACAGCAGGGAGCCCCGGCGTCTGGGGACAAGGCTGGGAAGGTGACACCTGCACTTCAGCACTGAGCGCCGCCGCAGACATGCCCTCCCGACCCCCGCTGGCCTGACGCGTCATCTTTATAGTCTGCGTGCTTTAGACTCAGGCACACAACAGGAGCATCCTCTGAAACCCAAGAACACACTTAGGAAAACTGAAACTATCTCCACGTTTTTATTAGGAAGCACGATTCAGCATTTCACGTTCAGGCTCAAAGTTCGCATTAATGCTGTAAAATAGAATTCATGGAAATGCCTGAGCAGTGTGTCCTGAGGGGAAATGGCGCAGGGATTTCCTGAACAGACTTACTCGTATGAGGTCCATGAGTGTGCTGTAAACGAAGGCTCCTCTGGGAAGGAAGAAACAGCTTCCAGGGCTGACATCGTGGAAGAAGAAAAGCTCCTGCTCCTACGGGGAGACAATCGCTGCCTTTCAAACACACGGTACTCACTGCACACACGTGACATGCATGGGCACGACACACAGTCATCCTTTCCACCTTCTAATAACAGACATTCCAGGGGGCTCAAGACCACCTACCCCTAACTACACTTAAGAGCACACATAAAATGACAACGCACACTGATGGGTACCAAGCCTGGAACTCGGCGTTTATGGATCTTTTGTTATCTCCTGCTAATCTCCTTGCTTGGCATGCATGGGATGTGGACATCAGGGAGAGGCCACACACAAAAGACCATAGAAGCTCACCGCAGGGGTGGGCTTTAAGTGATGCCCCAGTAGCTCATGCCTGCCACTTACTGAGGCCGCCCAGAGCCAGGCACCGCCACCCATGCCCGTACTCACGCCAGCCCAGCAAAGCCATCGGCAAGAGAGACAAGGACAGGAGTTCCACGAGGGACTGAGCACAGCTACCATCTAACACAGCTCTGAGTGACAGAGCTGATGAAAACCAGGTCTGTCTCTGTCAGACCTCACGTCTCTGCACACTGCTCTCTCAAAGGCCAAGGCTGCCATCAACTGTGCACAGTTAAAAAAAAAAAAAAAAACAACACTTTCTATTAGATACAAACAAGCAAAGGGGCAGGTATTTTGGTGCAGCAGTTCAACTGCTACTCAGGATGGCCACAGCCATAGCACAGTGTCTGCTTACACTGCCGGCCGCTCCACTTCTGAGCCAATCTCCTGCTAACGCGCACCCTGGGAGACAGCCGCCGACGGCCAAATGCCTCCATGTGGAAGGCCTAGACGGAGTTACAGGTTTCTGGCTTCAGCCTGGTCTAGGCCTGGCTATTTGAGGAGTGAGCCAGTGAATGAAAAATCTCTTTGTGTCTATTTACCTATCTTTCAAAAAATAAAATAAAATAAAATAAATAGAACCTTTTTAAAAAAATAAGAGAAGAATACAAGTTTTAAAAGCTAATAAAAGATATGAGAAGGAAAGAGGTTAAAAGATATTTGGGGTATTATCATGCAAGAGTTCAATGGCAGACTACAAGAGCCAGAAAAATAGAAGACAGAAGAGAGAAGGAAAAACAAAATATTTTTCAAAAATTTCACTTCATGGTGCATAACCGGAAGCCGGCAGGCAGATTCCCACCAGCAGGGACGTGGACAGGGCATGATGGGAAGCCGGCAGGCAGCTTCCCACCAGCAGTGACGAGGACGGGGCATGATGGGAAGCCAGCAGGCAGGTTCCCACCAGCAGTGACGAGGACGGGGCATGATGGGAAGCCAGCAGGCAGGTTCCCACCAGCAGTGACGTGGACAGGGCATGATGGGAAGCCGGCAGGCAGGTTCCCACCAGCAGGGACGTGGACAGGGCATGATGGGAAGCCGGCAGGCACGTTCCCACCAGCAGGGACGTGGACAGGGCATGATGGGAAGCCGGCAGGCAGGTTCCCAGCAGCAGTGATGAGGACGGGGCATGATGGGAAGCCGGCAGGCAGGTTCCCAGCAGCAGTGATGAGGACGGGGCATGATGGGAAGCCGGCAGGCAGGTTCCCAGCAGCAGTGACGAGGACGGGGCATGATGGGAAGCCGGCAGGCACGTTCCCACCAGCAGTGATGAGGACGGGGCATGATGGGAAGCCGGCAGGCAGGTTCCCACCAGCAGTGACGAGGACAGGGCATGATGGGAAGCTGGCAGGCAGGTTCCCACCCAGCAGCAATGAGGAGGGGGCGTACCTTCCCGATTTTCCTGTGATCTCGGTTCTTGGCCTCCTCCTGGACCTGCTCCCAGGTTTTCATCATCTTGTTATCGGGAAAGGAGATCCCGTAGATCCTCTGCAGGGTCTCCATCTCAGGACTGCCCTCCCAGTAAGTTGAAGAATTCTAAGCATCACACAAGATCTTGGTAAGCACATACGCACCTCTGCCACCAGCTCGTCAGGATAACTGACTTTGGGAAGGCACCTGTGCCAGAAGACCCTGACGCTGATTCTAGCCAGTCTGGGGATGCTACTGTCCAGGCCTGCATGGAGCTGTCAGAGGCTGGGACCGCACAGTCAGCCCACCCCTCTCGACTCCCAGGGCAGCACCCAGCCCACCGCACCCTCATACGCCCTGTTCTTCTTCCTGGAGCAGACCTTTCTCCCATGCAAACAGCTGGTCTGGCTCACATTAGGTGACTCCAGACAACCACTGCACAGAATTAAAAATACACGAAAAAGAAATGTACTTAACACTTACAATAAGGTTAAATGATAAACGTCATATATGGCGTTCTAACTGTCAAAATTCACAAAAGTATTATTTTTAGACAAGTAAGAATGAAGTATTTTAAAACATCATGATGTTCAGGCTATAAAAGATAGGACTAAAATGCCTTACGATCTAGGTTACATAAGTTTGCTACATTGATAAACAAGTCAAGCCTCACCTTGAAAATTTTGATGGCTTTGATCTTCCCAGTGTGTCTCACGTGGGGCCCTTTACAAAGGTCAACCAGTGGACCGCACCTGCAGGGACATTGCAGCCATGCCCAGCAGTTACAGCAACCGACTATCCATCATCAACCACATTCTCACGGCTGACGTGGGGGCTTTCACTGACTTACGTCTTGGGCCATTTTTCATCTGGGGTCGGGGAGTGAAGCAATGCATCCAGCTAGGGTCCCAGCCTACTCTCCTTTGCTCAAATTCAAAATCCAAAGACCATCTTCCGAAAGAAACCGTGCATGTTAACCACCACAGCCCAAGGCTCTCAAGAACCTCCAGAGCCATGGAATCAGGGAGCTACGAATCCGTCCGACATCCACTACAGCACATTAGCTGCATATTCCAAAGTCATGCAGCAGGGTGCGTGTTTGAGGACGTCTGGTTTTATGACGAAGCGACGGGGTGTTTCTGTTTATTAAACCGGGATTAAAACACACGAGGCTGGGCCAGCGCCGTGGCTCACTAGGCTAATCCTCCACCTTGCAGCGCCGGCACACCGGGTTCTAGTCCCGGTCGGGGCTCCGGATTCTGTCCCGGTTGCCCCTCTTCCAGGCCAGCTCTCTGTTGTGGCCTGGGAGTGCAGTGGAGGATGGCCCAAGTCCTTGGGCCCTGCACCCCATGGGAGACCAGGAGAAGTACCTGGCTCCTGCCATCGGATCAGCGCGGTGCACCGGCCGCGGCGGCCATTGGAGGGTGAACCAATGGCAACAGGAAGACCTTTCTCTCTGTCCCTCTCTCTCTCTCTCACTGTCCACTCTTTCAAAAAATAAATAAATAAATAACACACACAAGGCTGTAGCTGGGGCTTCCCTTGCACACAGAATGAACCAGAACCCCAGTGTCGTAAGCAGTACAGATACTAACCGAGTCAAAATGTGAAGCCCTATCAGAGGCAGGGTCACTTAACATCACTGACTCAAGGAAAAATAGTGAAGGAAGCACTGCCTTCACGATTTCCGCCCGTTTCAAGTAGGAGTGAACGCCATGACGGGCAGACAGAGGGTCTGGCTCCCAGACAAGCAAACACAATGCAGCTCTAGACAGGGAACGCCGGTTCTCTGCAAGACCAGGCTTCACGCACGCTCCTGTCCACGAGGAAGGTCAGCACGCAGGCAAAGGGCTGCCTGCTGGCACGAAAGCTTTCAAAGCTCCTATCCTTCAACACTCACAGGGAAAAGCTCTTTTTTCCTTCAAGAATTAAATATAAGCTGTACAAATTGGATATAAAAATGGTCAAAACTGACCTGGGAAATATTCTTTTACAACACCAAAAGAAGCCAGGAATTTGAAACTGAGCACACCTTTTCCATATCTGCATTTATTTTTAACCTTAAAACGGTTACACAAACATTTACTTGACTCAAGTAATAAATAAAAACGTTATCAGGTCATCAAAGAGTAGCAAAAATAAGATAAACGTGGTATTCCAACTCAGGGTCAAATCAGCTTTGCACAAAGGGGATCCACCTTTAATTATAATTAAACCAGAGAACCATAAAGCCCTGATGTGGGATGTACGTGTCCCTGGTAGGGGTATCCGTGAGCGTACCTATACACATCAGGGCTCCCAAGATGGGGCCGTGACAGCCGCACTCGTCCAGCTGGTGGGCAGAGAAGGACAGCAGGACCCAGAGGGCAGCTCCGAAACTGGGCGGATGAAAGGCGCCGGGAGCCCAGTGCTAGGCTAAGCGATTCCGGCACTGAAGGCACTTGGCTTTTTTGCCTTTGTGTCTATAGTTTGTTTCTGTGCCACGTGAAACCCTACTACAGTGGGAGGCTGGCACATCTGGGCCGTGGGCCGTGGGGAGTGCAGTGTAAGCAGAGACCACGGCGAGAGGAGCGGCCACGGCCTTGTTAACAGAAGTGTGGCTGCATGGAACAGAAGCGCTCTTCTCTCTCAGCTCCCCGGGAGGTAAGGTGTCGGGCGAACACAATCTTACCCACAGGGAGAGAGAGCCCATCACAGCTGACGCCCAGAAATAAAATTTGTGTCAGTGCCAAGGAGGAGACAGGCATTTCCCCTAGGTCCTAAACTTCCGGAGCTGCTCACTGCAGTGCGCTGACCACGGGACATTGGACAGACCGTCCAGCAGAAACCAGCCCTGTTCCTGCCCCTGCCCTCACCTCCACCAGAGAGCAGTGTTGAAAACCATGCACACACACCCACCTGTAAACCGTGGTTGTCGGAGTGTCAACCTTCTCATTCAGAATGCGGCACTTAAATTTATTGTACTACAAAGAGAAACATTTACACACTAATACACAAACTGTTTAAGTGAAAAACACAACTCTACTTTTTCAATAAAAACTGCAAGGTAGCCTGTGATGTTCTTAGGAGCTGAGCCACGAGAGACACGGACAGCTGCACTTCCAGCCCAGGGGCCACAAGAGGGCAGTGTTGTGGGCAGCTGCCCACAATGCGGGCATCCCACAAGGCGCAGGTGTGAATCCCAGCTGCTCCACGTCTGATCCAGCTCCCTGCTAATGCTCCTGGGAAAGCAGAAGATGGCCCAAGTATTTGGGTCTCGGCACCTGGATGAAGCTCCTGGCTCCCTGCTTTGGCCTGGCCCAGCCCCGCCATTTTAGCCATTTTGGGAGTGAACCAGCAGGTGGAAGATCTGTCTCTCCCTCTCTCTCTGTAACTCTGCCTTTCAAATAAGTACATAAATCGTTAAAAATAAGAAGACTCAACTGAAATGAGATGTGCTGGGAGTGCAGAACAGACTGCGTGTTAGAGTGTGGTGTGGGAAGAAAGAATATAAAACAGACTGTTGGGGTGGGTGTTGGGGGCAGTGGCTGAGACACTGCTTGAGACGCCTGCATCCATCCCATACTGGAGCCCTGGCTGCTCTGCTTCCGGGCCAGCTCCCTGCCGACGTGCGCCCCGAGAGGCAGCAGGTGACGGCTCAATCACCCGGCTCCCTGCCACCCACACAGGAGACCGAGACTGAACGCCCAGCTCCTGGCTTCAGTTTGGTCCGGTTCTGAATGTCGCAGGCATCTGGGGAGTGCACCAGTCGATGGGGGATCTCTGCCCGCCCCTCCCCCCCCCCCTTTCAAATAAAAGTTTTAAAAAATTGCTCATTATTTTTATAATGGCTACATGTTGAAATGGAATTTTTGGTATCTTAATAATCTCACCTTTCTTTTACTTCTAAATCATAGTTTCCAGAATTTTTTTTTCAGTCCGCGCTGCCCCCAGAAATTTAACATTGTGCACACGGCTCAGATCTGCAGGCTGCATGACATTTCTGCCAAACAGCACTGTTCTAGAATATCTGATTTTAACTACATGAAATAAATAAAATTCTGAGGACACAGCTACATTTTTAATTTGTGTAAAAACAAAATTATGCTAACTGATGATATAATTACATTTTGAAAACTTCTACACAGAACAGGCAAGGTGCCCACATCTGGAGCTGGCACTGGCACAGTGGGTTAAGCTGCCGCCTGCAATGCCAGCATCCCAAATGAGCACCGGGTTGAGGCCCTGCTACTTCACTCCCAATGCAGCTTCCTGCTAATGTGCCTGGGAAGGCAGTGTAAGATGGCCAAGAACTTGGGCCCCTGCTACCATGTGGGAGACCAGATGGAGTTCCAGGCTCCTGACTTTGGCCCTGGCTCCAGCTCCCGACCCCAGCTTCCCGCTAATGCAGGCCCTAGAAAGGGTCGTGGGAACAGCAGTCCGACACCAGCAACACTCAGAATTAATCAGAGTTGTAAACACACACATGAAGAGCATCCACCTGCCCCTGATCCACCTCCGTCTGCCTTAGTGTCTAGTGTCTAGTGTCAGGCACTAGAGAAAGAAGGGAAATGTCACGGCAAGTGGCCAGCACCGTGACAAGGGCTCCAGACTCTGGGACATTCTGGCGAGCAGTCGGTTCCTCGGGGGAGAAAGGACCACCTCCAGGAACTGCTTTCAACATTCCTGGTAGAGGTCTTCATTCTGGGAGTGTCTCCACCTCACCTTAAACATCTCCAGGAGGACTTCCTTGCTGACTTCCAGTCTTTCAAAAGGCTGCCTTTCTTTGATGATAGCTTTGCACATGTTCTCCAGGGCCGGCAGCTCCGTGCTGGACACGGCTCTGAAAAGAGCAGGCAGGACTCAGCACAGACCCTTCCTGCCCTTGCTCCCGCGGCTCTGGGCGCTGCGGACACACTTTCTAAATTGGTCTGGTGTCCCACTGCCCTGGGGCTGAAGAAAGTCAGGCATCTGCACACTCTCCCACTGCTTGGAGAGCAGACAGAGGCCTCAATGAAGGCTGACCTGCGCCTTCAACCCACAGGGAACCGTTAGGGGATCTTGCAGCAAATCCTGAAGGGCTCCGAGGACTCTGCTCCCAGAGGGTCTGCCTCATCCTGAACCCACCGGGACGCTGCTGGGCACAGTACACTAGTGCTCACCCGGTCCCTGGCCTCCTGGCTGTGGTCCAGGCTGGGAGGAGCTGTTCCCTGGTTGAGGCCCCCAAACCCTTACAGCTGGGAGGTTGTCTTCACACAAGGCTGGCTGACCCCCACACCAGGGCAGGCCCACCGGGCCTGAAACAGTCTCCCTGCAGATGTCTACAACTTACCCCCCGCATCCTCAGGGCTTGCTCCCCCTCCATTCTGGCCTCTGCTTCAATGTCCCCTTAGCCTTCCCGGACCACTGGCCCAGCCTGGCTCGAACTTCAGCTCCTACTCCCAACCTCTGTGGAGTGGGGAGGGGCTGGAGATCGAGCGCAACGTCACAGGCCAATGACTTAACCAACGGTGCCTACGCAGCAAAACGGCCACTCAACTCCCCTAAGCAGCCTGCATGTGAAGAAACAAAACCCTAAGCAATGGGGTTGAGGAAGCGTCGGGTAACACAGCCAGGGTACAGGGGAAGAGAAGCCCCTCACTGCCTGCCACTCTCCACCCCGGTCAGCTGGGGCAGTGTTGTGAAACTGCGCCCACTACCTGTGGGGTCCGTGCCAGTTTTGGGTAATGACAGAACTTAACTGAATTGCTGGATACCTAAATGGTGTCCAGAGTTAGACTCCACTGTTGGTATAGCAAAAAAAAAACAAAAACAAAACCCACACTTGGGTTCAGAAGCACTGTGTACAGGAGCCAGCCTTGTGGCCTAGCAGGTAAAGCCGCTGCCTGTGCCACCCATATGGGCTCCAGTTCATGTTCTGGCTGCTCCACTTCAGATCCAGCTCCCTGCTAATGGCTTAGACAAAGCAGCGGAGGATGGCCCAACCCATGTGGGAGACCTGGAGGAAGCTCCTGGCTCCTGGCACCAGCCTCGTCGGGTGCTGGCAGTTATAGCCATGTGGGGAGTGAATCAGAGAATGGAAACCTCTGTTTTTCTCTAATTCTGACTTTCAAATAAATAAATCCTTAAAAAAAAAAGTACCGTAGACAAAAACGGTGCTGTGAGTGCAACAGTGCAGACGGAACAAGTCTGTCGGCAGCAGTGACGTGGTGCTGACGCTTGGGCAGGGGGTCATGAGGCAGGAGTGGGGGTGACAGCAAAGGTGAGTTACACTGCACTGTCCAGCACGAGGGGCAGGGTCTGAACTGAGGCAGAAGTCAGAGCAGGAGGGACAGACAGGAAAACCACTTAGAAAAGTGGCAGACGTGCACCAACAGCAGGATGGGGACGCCGAGGGGCCGGGAGGAACGGGAAGGGCCCTGGGATTTCAGTTGTGCAGCTGGGGACATCCTGCAGGGTGGTGGGCAGTGCAGGGCAGGGGGTGCACTGGGGCTGGGCCTGCTGCCTAGGGAGTCCCAGCTTCTCTGCAGGCTGCCCGGCCTGGCATTCCACACAGCAAGACGTCTGCTGAGGGTGACCGTACCCTCGCAGAACTGAACTAACTGCTCTCCAGGAGCCAAGCCTGTGGTCTGGTCTAAGTGAGCACTGCTAGATTACACAGCATACAGCCTCCTTCTAGGCGAAAAAAAAAAAAAAAAACCAGCTTGAGAAGTTACCCTTGAATCTAAACTCACTGTTCCAAAAATGCCCATCCAATCTGTAATCACAATCTGCAGTACGTAGTGACTGAGCTAAGACGTAGCCACCGCAGAACACCAAATCCCATGTGCACGAGTCAGCCTCAGCGGGGTTACCTGTCTTCAATGAACATGTCATAATAAAATCCGTTCTCGATGGGCGGACCGTAGCACAGGTGGCCTCCGTAGTAGAGTTCCATGGCCTCCCCGAGAACGTGAGCGCTGGAGTGCCAGTACACCTGCACGCACAGGACACACAGCCCGTCAGCTACCAAACGGCGTCACAGAAATCTGCAGCAAACCGGCGTGAGGAAGCAGGGGATGAAGTTCAAGGGGACAAGCACCACGACACGAGGGCAGCATCGATTTGAAGAGAGACTCCTCAGTGCCCACGGGACAGGATGTTGTCTGAGCTCTCCTGCGGTCCGCCAGAGCTCTCTGCTCAGCTCTGGAGTAAACCTCTGCCACAGTGCAGCCGGGTCTCAGCTCCTCCATCATCTGCTTCCCTGTGCACTGACTCCGGGGAACGGGACCAGCCACCTGGGACACCCAGCAGGGCCCAGCAGAGCAGCCCACACAAAGGCGCCCCAGGCCCCGAGTGAGGGGACAGCCAGGAAGTGCCAGATCCTAGTGCCCTTCCTGTACCCAGGGGCAGCCTCCCTGAGCTGGGTGCAGACAGCTGCAGGGCCTGCTGCAGACGGCACCGCCCTTAGGGGACCTGCCTCTCCACGGCAGGAAAGAAAAGCTACCAGGGAACCCCTGCTGGCCGCCAGGGACCCCCGAGCAGTGTGGACGCGGCCATTAACCGGCTCGTTGGCTCTACACGTTCAGAGAGTGGACTGGGTTTGAATTCCCAAAGAATTCATCTAGAAACCCAAACTAACCAGAGACACCAAGAAATATGAGGATGCCTCAAAAAGTTGGAGAAAAATGGAATTGGAAGTTTATTTTGGTTCAACAAATTTTTGTAACCCATGCATATTTTTCTCAAACCCCTTGTCTGGGGCTGACAGAGCCCTGTTAAGCAGGTGCCAGTCACAACCAGAAAGCTGCCTGACACATGCACTCAGAGCCAAGAGGACAGTGGCCCCAGGGCAGGGGGCTGGGTGTGGTCTGCCAGGCTGCCGAGGACAGCCCAAAGCTCCTCTCTGGGGCTCGGTCCACACCTTGGTATCTGCTGAGCCACGTACTCTCGGGTGCAGGAGGCACAACCGTGAATGAAACAGACCCACTGCCCTCACACAGTAACAGCTGATGGAGGAGACGGAGAGAGAGCTCTAGGATATCATCTCCCAACAACGAAGACCCCTTCCCCACCCCCGCCCCGCCCCACCCCAGCGAGCCAGGGAGGGCCCGCGGCAGCCATAGGCAGGCCCTGGGGAGGAGTCTGGGTTTTACTCCAGATTTAATGGGATACACAGAGGGGTTTAAGAGAAATGCTTCCATTTCCATTCTAAAAAAAGCATTTCACAGCCGTAGAGGAATGGACTCCAGGGATCAAAATAGCAAGCAGGCAGTCCCTGGACGCAGCCGTGAGAGAACGAACACAGGTCAGTGGAGAAGGGGCCAGCTTCAGAGTCATCTGGACAGTGTCGTCTCCTGCTCTGGTCCACCCACAAACCAGCGGATACAGCTGGCGGGGGGCAGTGAGGTAACCACACAGATCCTCACGGTGTGCACTCGGGCAGCACACTGAGGAGGGCAAACAGAGACAAGAAGCCCGCGGTGAACGCACTGAGGATTCCTGCACCTCGGCCAAGTGGAGGCCGCACACGGGCAGCACTGGTACGCAGCTGGGCAGGCCTGGCTGAGGCAGGCGTCAGCAGTTTAGAGAACTGTATTTTCAGAGTCACTTTTAACCATGGGTTGCTCCCACTGTATTGTTTAACCGTTTGATGGTTATACTTCACATATTTTACACAGAAATTACAATGAGGTTCTTATATTTTGGAATAAGAAATTAAGGAATTTAGCACAGCTTCACAATCAGTGTAAGCTAAGCTAATCATACACTAGGTTTTCACGGGAGATCATGGAGTTGAAGAGAAACTGCTTGAAGGGAGACAGCAAAGTTACAGTGACAATGACATCAGAAACCTACATGAAAACGTGGTCTTTTATAAAAATGTACATTAATAAGTACTTGAAGGATATTTGAGTTTTGATGATCTTTTCCAATTCTCCGCACACATCAAACTTTAAAGTAGGGGCAGACATTTGTCACAGCATTAGGATGCCAGCTGGGACACCTCCTTCCTCCGCCCTGCTCCTGGCCCAGCTCCCTACAGTGCAGATCCTGGAAGGCAGCAGGATGGCTCAAGGAGCTGGGTCCCAGCCCCCTCATGGGAGCGTGGTCTGAGCTCCTGGCTTCAGCCTCACCCAGCCACGGAGGGCATCTGGGGCAAGAACCAGTGGACAGGGGCTTTCTTGTCTCTCTCTGCCTCCCGAGTAACTTTTTAAATTAAAAATTATTAAATCCATGTTTAAAATCTATTAATCATTTCTAATACACATTGATTCAATAAATGAAACATTCTAACTTTAAGAAACAATCATGTTGGGGCTGGTGCTGTGGTGCAGCAGGTTAAAGCCCAAGCCTGCAGCACCAGCATCTCATACGGGTGCTGGTTTGAGTCCAGGCTGCTCCACTTCCAATCCAGCTCCCTGCTAACGCACCTGGGAGAGCACCAGAGGCTGGCCCAAGTCCTTGGGCCCCTGCACCCAGATGGGAGACCAGGAAAGAACTCCCGGGTCCTGGCTTCGGATCAGCTCAGCTCCAGCCATTGCAGCCATTTGGTCAGTGGACCACCAGATGGAAGGCCAGGCCTCTTTCTGTCTCTGTCTCTACCTTTCTCTGTAACTCTTTCAAATAAATAAAATAAATCTCAAAAAAATCATTTAAAAATGATAAATATGAACTTCCTAAAAATTGATGTATTTGTATGTATTCCTTCCACAAGGAACACTGTATTCAATGTTTATGGAACTCTGGTATTCAGATTCTAAATCTCAGAAGGCCAGAAGTGTCCCCCCTGACGTCAACCCATGGCCTCTCGCATCAGGCGGCTCACGGCGTCAGCAGCCCCCTCACAGCTGGATGTGGCACACTCACAGCCTGGGCTTCCTCGCTGTGGAACGTGAGCAGCTCCAGGGTGCAGTCCCCCTGCAGAGGGCGGTCCAGGTCCCACAGCTCCCCGTCCACCTTGGCGACCACAGCGCTCTCCGCCAGCTCTCGGCTAGTGAGAGAGAGAGAAGCCACCTGGGGTTAATCTTACCGCGTATTAAATGAGTCCTTAAAAGGGAAAAATAATTTCTAGGTTTTATATAAAGTACAAATGTAAAATAATAGGACAGATTTTTATTTAAATTTTGTGACAATTATTTTATGTACAAAAGTAATACACCTTCACTGTAGCAACTTGGAAAACAAAGGACAAAGACAACATTAGAAATGACTCAGGCATCTTACATCCAGAAACAACCACACTCGGGAGGTTCTGTACCTGAGGGACTCATGTTTTTCCTACCCCACCCCCATACACTTTTCACAGAAACATAGCTGCCAACATAACTGTATGGCCTGCTCTCTCCATGCCAGCAGGTGGACTTCCAAAGCTGGAAGAACACTGGGAGAACACTTATCACAGGGGCCATGACTCCGGCACACCGAGGTCACCTTCACACTCACACGGCACAGACATCCACACGCACACCCATGTCTCCTGCCTTGCTTTCTGGAAACCAGTCCACACAAGTGCAACTGCTGGGTCAGGGGCCTCCTGCCTTTAAAGATTTCTGGTAGACATCACACTACCCGAAGGAGTTCTTGACCTTTGTCAACGTGGGGTTGAAAATGGCTTTAATTTGATTATTAATTTTAGCAAGTATTTACAAGCTTTTTTACTTGTATAAAGCATTTCCTTTGCCTGCTTTTCATTAAGGCGTTGATCTTTTTCTTTCTCTTATGGTATCTTTTAAAGAACTTTTAGTGTTTGAAAATTACTGACAATAACAAGAGAAGAAACCTAGAAAGTACAGAAAAGCAGAGAAAAAAGAAATCACCCACAATCCCCAACCCAGAAATTTCTGTTAACATTTTGTTGTATGTTCTTCTATATGTTTTAAGATGTTTTTATTCCTTTATCTTCATTTCATTTGAAAGTCAGAGGCACAGAGGGAGGAAGTGTCAGAGAGACATACGGGAGATCTTCCATCTGCTGGCTCACTTGACGTACACATCAATATAAAACTGGAATAGTACTATTTTGCATGTGTTATTTAGTCATTTTTAAATGATCTATTCATTTGCTGTGAAGGGAGGGAGGGGGGAGAGGGAGAGAGAGAGGGATCAATCTTTCATCTTCTGGTTCACTTCCCAAATTGCCACAACAGCTGGGATTGGGCTAGGCCCCACCAGGAGCCAGGAACTCCATCCAGGTCTCCCCTGTGCTTGGCAAGGGCACAAGCAGTTGGTGTATCTTCCACTGCTTTCCCAGGTGCCCTAGCAGGGAGCTGGACTGGAAGTGGAGCAGCCGGGAAACAAACCAGTGCTCACACTGGATGCCGGCTTATCACACTGGATAAGCGGCTGTCCTACAATGCCAGGCCCCTGGTAACCTCCTTCTTAAACTTAACAATAAATCACAGCATTTTCCTTAACAGGAGACAGACTTCTATAGCATGCTATTTAAGAGTTGCAGAGGAACCAAGATTTGTTAAATATTTTGGTTCTTTTCTTTGAGAGGCAGAGTTACAGACAGAGAGGAAGGTTGTCTCCCACCTGCGGGTTCACCCCCCAAATGGCTGCAATGGCTGGAACTGAACAGATCTGAAGCCAGGAGCCAGGAGCCTCCTCTGGGTCTCCCATGCAGCTACAGGTGCCCAAGCACTTGAGCCATCCTCCACTACTTTCCCATACAACAAGCAGAGAGCTGGACTGGAAGAGGAGCAGCCGGGACCCAATCCGGTGCCCATATGGGATGCCAGCACTGCAGGTGGTAGCTTTACCCACTACGCCACAGCGCCAGCCCCAAGTTACTGAGTTTTTGTGGTGCTTTTGTTGTAGCAGCTCAGCCTAGACTTTAAAATTATGGCAATAAAAACCCAAAAATAATTCTAAAAATAACCAAAATATGTGGTACTTGTTTAGTAGTCGGTTACAAGGCAACAGACACTAAGGTGTGGAAGCCAGAACCCTTGTTATGGCCTAGCAAAATACCTGCGAGAACTTGCAGGCACAGCACAGTCATGGTGCTCGGTGGTCACGGCGCCCGAGCACGTGAGGGAGCAGCTGTACGAGCCAGAAGCTGCTGCGCGGTCGGTAAGTGCTGCTTTGAGCAGCGTGACTGACGGCTCCCAACCTGCAAGCAGAGAGGGACGGGGCTCCACAAGCCCAGGCTCTCTCCAATCGTGGCCTCTAATTCCGGTGGACTAAGAACCCAGAAATCCGGGGCCCTGCGAGACTAGAGAGACAACCTGCTGTCCTGAAAAGCCAGGGGGATGGGCACGGACAGGGCTTCCCCAGGGGTCGGGGGCTGCGGTGTCAGAGAGGGAGGGCGCTCCTCTCCCACGGGCCTGGGTTCCCGTGCCCTCAGTGCAATCAACTGAGGGAGAGAGGAACGAGCCAGGCGCGGACGCCACGAAACAAAAAGGCCGAGCCTCGTCCAGAAGGTGTACTGCAGAGGGAGGCCTTTCACGTGGCGCTGATCCGCGCAAACAGACCAGGTGCCTGCTCCGGATATGAGGCCGAGGGCAGCCGATGACCCACCACACTCTGCGCCCAGCTCACACACAACTGGGGCTGCCTGATCCTTCGGAGACACCCCAGCCCCCCAGAGTGCATCGGCAACAACTGGGCTGAGCGCACTGCACAGCCCCAGAGCACAAACTCCTGCACCTCAAATGGGACGAACCAGGGTTAAGACGGCAATGAACTTCCCAAAGAGCAAAACTGGGGCCCCAGAGCCATGGCCGAGAGCCGCTTCCACACAGCCGAGTGTGGGGAGCAACCCGGACTGGACTGAGTTACTGGAATTAAGACTTATTCTATGCATCTGCTCTCCCACAATATGGCGCTGGGAGAGGAGGCAACAGCTTCTACCCAGCTGCCTCTTGCCAACTTGAGTGCTGACCTCCAGGAGCTGATCCTGCTCCTGATTGGAGGAGAGCAGCGTACTCGGCGTGTGGGCAGCCGAGTTGGGATTGGCGGAGGAGGACTATAAAGGAGGAGAGAGACAGCATGCACCAGGAACATCTAAGGGGAACATCTGAAGGAACACCTGTGCAGCCCCCGAGAGAGCCGGCCAGCGGTGTGCCGCTCCCCCGCGGAAGTGGGGAATGTGGCTAGGGGGAACCGCCCTTCCACGGAGGTGGAAGGGACGGTAGCCAACCCGGGAAGAACCAGCAGCAAACCCGGGGAGGGCCGAGCAGACGAAAGAACAGAGCAGGGTCCTGTGTCGTTCCTCCACGAAGAGGGGGAGCGACACCGAGGGCGGCTGATGGGTGGACGCTGCACAGAGGCTGCAGGCCTCATAAGGGCCACAGAACCCCCGAGCTCCCCGCAGCTCTGTCGGCTGCTTTCCTCCCCGTCTGAGACGGACATGCTGAGACTGTCTCACGCTGACCGCACACGTGTGGTGAGAGCAGACTTGCCTCCGAGTCTGCTGCTGGGATGCAGTGGTCAGCCTGGAGGGGAGGGGCGCGCCGCACATCACGCCAGAGTCCCAGGCTCTGAGGTGTGGACCCGCGCTGTCTCCCCAGGGAGGGCGGGGTGCTGGATACTGAGTGCCCACCTGCAGGTGTCTGGGTGTTGGAGGGGGGCCGGCAGACGGTCTACTGACCCCTACACCATTCTTCTCGTCCAGGGCAAGAATGCTCCAGCTGGCCTGTGGCTGGCTGCAGGAACACACTTCCACTCTCTCACAGCTGGGCACGGCCACGGACTAACGTGAGCTGCCACAGGCGGGACTGCAGTGGGCTACTCCAGGGTCCTTGCTTCAAGGCATCGCTGGTCAGCCTCTCTGTGGCTGGGCCCCAGCTTCCACTCCTGGACCCCAACAAACCCTACCATGGGCGGGCAGGTCACCAGAGTGGAAAGAAGCTGAATCCGTGAACGACTGCACGGACCAGGGATGTCCACCAGCTGAGACTGCTCACCTCCAGGCCACGGAGGAGAGTGTCTGAAGTCGACCTACTTAAACCACCGTCTTCAAGGGTCTCTGGGACTGCACACCTGCAGCCCCTGGAGGGCTCCAAACAACACAGACAGCCGAATGGCTCGGCAGGCAAGAGGGGAGGCCCCAGGACCTGCTTTTCTACCACGTTTCCAGACGGTGCCGATCCTGCTGGTCCGGGGACCACACCCTGCAAACCACTGACCTAACACTAACACGCAACCTGCTTCTCCACGAAAAAACAGAAACTTATTTGCCTCAAAACCCATTTCCCCCCAGCATATCCCCTCTCCTGGAAAACATCACACGGGGCAGGGAGGGCCTCGAGGGCCCCGGTGAGGTCAGGGTGAACAGAGCAGCAGGCCTGGCCTGAGGATTTCAACTGTCTCTGCCTTCCGGAGCAGTCAAAGTTAACCTACACGCAAGTTTTGTGCTATAGCGCCCACAGAGCTGTACTGAATGCCAGGAGTGAACATTAATGAAAACGCACACCTTCACGAATGTGTGTGATTTCTGGAAAGCTCGAAGTCCTGGTCCAGAACGGATAACATGTCTAACACATACACTCTCAACCTACAATCAACAGGTCTACAAAAACTCAAGGAGGGAAGGCATGTGGCCTAGTGGTTACCATGCCAGTCACGGTCTCTGCACCCCGTGTCAGAAAGCCTGGATTCGATTCCCATCTCCAGCCCGATTCCAGCTTCCTGGTAGTCTGGACCCCAGGATGGCTCAAGTCCTGGCTCTTGCCGCCCACATGGGAGATCCGAATTGCACTCCTGGTTCCTGGCGTCAGCCAGCCCTGGCCAGGACAGCCTTTGGAGAGTGAGAGCTCTTTCCCTTCCTCTAATATAACAACAATAGTAATAATAATAATAAAATTTTAAACTCATAGATGTTACTTGATTGATGAATAAGTCAGCATAAAATGTTCTATCAAGGATTATAAATTTTTTCACCATTTTTACTGGACCATTAGAACTTGGATCTTTTGAAGAGAAAAACACTGTGTTTTGACATTCAATTAATTACTTATCCAAATGGCCCTTTTAGAAGCCAGACGATAAAAACTGTTTAGTTTATTCACTGGATGAGTAGGAAGCACTGCCCCCAGGCTTTGGCACAGTTACGTAGTGCTGAGCACTGTCTCCCGACTATGGTTACCTAATCGCAGCAGCCACCTGATACGGCGTTGTCCTCCCACGGGCCCCTTCCACCGTCTCGCCACCAGCCACCCTCACTGTGAGTGCACTGCCGGCGTCCTCCTGTTCACCGACCGGAAGCAGGGCCTGTGAATCTTCCTTCAACGCTTGGAAGAGCTCCAACCTTTCTTTTATGAAATGTGGCCGGCGCTGCACCTGAGGAGCGTCGGAACACCACGGAGTCAGCACACGCCCTGTCCCCCAGCGGCTCCCTCCCTGTCAGTGCCCTGCCCACTCCCCCCTCAGCACCCGCAGGTCTGCGCCTCACACTGCTTCCTGGCTCCAGCACTCTCTGCTCCACTGACCAAACCCCTTCTTAGCGCTCAGGGTCCAGCTCAAAGCCACCTCCCCTTCCCACTGCGGAAGCAGCTGTATGCAGAGCCCCGCCACACAGCACTCACTGTGCATCACACAGTCACCCCTTGGCGTCTGCGGGGGTGGTTCCGGGACCCCAGGGACACCAAAGCCCACTGGTGCTCAAGTCCCTCCCAGGAAATGGTGCAGTGTGTGCATACAGCCTGCACACATCCTCCGTGTGCTCTCACTCGCCAACGTGAGTGCTGGGTCCACAGCTGTCGCACTGGACTGCTCAAGGAATGAGGGCAAGAAATAAAGTCTGCCCGTGCTCGGGACAGAGATAAACATTCTCCTGAGCAGCTCCATCGGAGGTGGCCGATCCCTGCAGTGGAACCCGTGGAGACGGAGGGCCGCCTGCACCTGCTCGCTCCACTGTCAGCCGTTCCCGCGTCTGTCTGAACTCCCCAGACTGACCCCCCCCCCCCCCAAGGGCCAGGAACTGTCCTTTGTTCCCACCAAAAGCTGACGCTCAGCACATACGTCTCGTTTGGTTGAGTGATTTACTTTTTTGTTTTGTTTTGTTTTTGACAGGCAGAGTGGACAGTGAGAGAGAGAGACAGAGAGAAAGGTCTTCCTGTGCCGTTGGTTCACCCTCCAATGGCCGCCGTGGCTGGCGCGCTGTGGCCGGCGCACTGCGCCAATCCGATGGCAGGAGCCAGGTGCTTCTCCTGGTCTCCCATGGGGTACAGGGCCCAAGCACTTGGGCCATCCTCCACTGCACTCCCTGGCCACAGCAGAGAGCTGGCCTGGAAGAGGGGCAACCAGGACAGAATCCGGTGCCCTGATTGGGACTAGAACCAGTTTTTAGTTTCCCTAACACAAGAGAAGAGTTCTACTATCTTACCTTAAACAGACTAAGGGGCACTTAAATATTAAATACAGTTGTGTAGTTAGTTCACTTTTAAGTTAAAACGTCTTATACATAAGACTTACAAAATTTTAAAACATGAATGGAGCACAAAAATAATTTAATCTGTAATTAAGTTTTTATTAAAAATCATAGGTAATTTACTGTGGACATACTTAAATTACAGGTAATATTTTATATTTTAAACTTGTTCTTTTTTTCTTTTTTTTTTTTTCTTTTTGACAGGCTGAGTTAGGCAGTGAAAGAGAGAGACAGAGAGAAAGGTCTTCCCTCAGTTGGTTCACCCCCCAAAATGGCCGCCACGGCCGGCGCTGCACTGATCTGAAGGCAGGAGCCAGGTGCTTCTCCTGGTCTCCCATGCGGTGCAGGGCCCAAACACTTGGGCCATCCTCCACTGCATAGCAGAGAGCTGGACTGGAAGAGGGGCAACCAGGACAGACCTGGCGCCCCAACCGGGACTAGAACCTGGGGTGCCAGCGCCGCAGGCGGAGGATTAGCCTAGTGAGCCGCGGCGCCGGCCTTATTTATTTATTTGAAAGGTAAACAGACAGCGAGCAGCAAGAGCGAGTGAGCGAGCGAGCGACCTCCCATCTGCTGTTTCACTCCCCAAAAGCCCACAGCAGCCAGGGCTGGACCAAAGCCAGAAGCCTGAACCCGATTCAGGAGTCCCCCATGAGTGGTAGCGACCCAGCTACTGGAACCACCCCACTGCTTCCTACAGTGTGCACCACCAGGAGGCCTGAGCCGGTGGCAGAGCTGGGACCCCGACCCCCACAACACCACAGCACGGACGTGGGCACCCAAGGCGGCATCTGGCCCCGGCCCCCAGGTAGCTTTCACAGGAGCTGCACAGCGGGGCCTTACCTCGCTGTCAGGCCCACTTTCCTTCATTTTCTTCTTGTCAGTGTCTTCGTCTTGGCTTTGACTGGGAGGCTGAAAGAGACATGATGAAGGGCTGGCATCCACAGAAAGAAAGAGCGACACTTCCGAAGCCCGAGGCAGGAGGGGGCCAGCAGGTGTCCAGGCGCACAGCTGGCCTCTCCCCATCACATCTACGACTCCATGGGCCATTTCCCAGGGTTCAGTGCTGCCTGTGCGTACATTTCATGCTCCTGCTATGCACATTCAATGTATTTTGCTCTTTAAAGTTTTCCCTTCTAAACTTTTTTTAAAAATATATTTTACTTATTTAAAGGTAGAGTTACAGAGAGAGAGGTCCTCCATCTGCTGGTTCACTCCCCAAAAGGCCTGGTATGGCAATGGCCACGGCTGGTCCAGGATGGAGCCAGGAGCCAGGAGCCCCTTCTGGGTCTCCCACAGGGTGCAGGGGCCCAAGCACGTGGACCATCCTCTGCTGCTTTGCCAGGCGCATTAGCAGGGAGCTGGATCAGTAGAGCAGCCGGGACTCAAACCAGCAACCACGTGGGATGCTGGCGCTGCAGGTGGTGGCTTAACCTGCCCCCTCCCCAAACTTTTAAGAACCAATGTCACTGAGAAATGTACGGTGCCACCAGAAACCTTAACTGCACCATTTCACGCAGACGTCGCCAGCACACCAATCATCGAAGAACACTTCCCAGTCCGAGGGTGCCTCAGAGAGTGACAAAGTTCTGATGTCACCTTGCCCTTTAATGAACTAAAATACTCAAATACTGCACCGGGGGCCTGTGCCGTGGTGAAGCAGGTAAAGCCGCCGTGAGGGCACAGGTCTGTGTCCAAGCTGCCTCGCTGCCAATCCAGCTCCCGGCTAAAGGCCTGGGAAAAGTAGCAGAGGACGGCCCAAGTGTTTGGGCCCTGTATACCCACTTAGGACACCCAGAGGAAGCTTCTGGCTCCAGGACTCCACCTGGCCCAGCACTGGCTATGGGGTATGGGGCTATGGGGCTATGGGGCTATGGGGCCATGGGGCTATGGGGCCATGGGGCTATGGGGCCATGGGGCTATGGGGCGGGGCCGGGGCCATTTGGGGAGCGAATCAACAAATGGAAGCTCTCTCCCTCCCTTTCTCTGTAACTCTTAAAAAAAAAAAAATCAAATGCTGCATCCTTAATGCCTGTGATGTGGACTTTCATTCCATTATCAGCGATCACCACCTGTACAGCTAACACCTGCGGCTGGGGTCTGTGACTGCACCCCGCAGAGCCCAGGCCGACCCGGTGCCGTCGGAACACTAAGCCCGCCTCCACTTCGCTGACCCCTGCAAGGCCGGCCCGGACCCTGCGGGCCAGAGCCCCGCGCCAGACCGGATCCTGCAGCCGCTGCAGGGGAGTCCGGGGAACGAGCGGCAGACGCGCCCCTCCGGGCTCCCACCACCCGGGGTCGGGGTCGCTCAGCCAGCCAGAGGGCCCACCCGGGATGCCGTTAGAAACACAGCCCCCTCCCCCGCAAACCACCTGCCCCAGCAGCCCAGAACCAGCCTCGAGAGGAGACGCGGGGGGTTCTGCAGCAGCGGAGAGCTAAGAAGGGACACCCGCGGTCAGGCGGGGCTGCGGGCGAGCGGGCGGGCGCGGGGTGGGGGCGCCCGCACCGTTACCTGCGCGTCGGCCGCCCCCGGCGCCCCGCGGCTCAGCTCCTCGGCGACGCTCAGCCGCAGGCGGCACAGGCGGCGGCGCAGGTCGCGGTTCTCCGCCCGCAGCTGCGCCACCTCCCGCGTCAGGCACGGCCCCTCGGCCGGGCAGCGGTCGGCCGCGCTCAGCTGCTCGTCCCTCAGGCGCCGGACCTCCGCCCACAGCCAGCGGATGTCCTCCTCCTGCCGCTGCAGGCGCGAAGCCACGGCCTCGGCCGCCAGCGCCTCCGCCGCCATGGCGCCCGCGCTCCTCAAGCCGCGGGGGCGGGGGCGGCCGGGGCGGCGGCTGCGGCGAACGCGGCGAACGCGGCGAACGCGGCGACCCGGCGCGGTGAACGCCACCGCCACCGAACGGCCGTGCGGGGCCGCGGTGCGGCGCGCCGCTGGGGGCGGGGCGGAGGCCGGGCACGCTGAGGGGGCGGGGCCACGGGGTGGGCGGGTCCACTGGGAGGGGCCGAGGCGGGGCACGCTGCAGGGGCGGGGCCACGGGCCGGGATGGGGCCGAGGCCGGGCACGGTTCAGGGGCGGGGCCACGGGATGGGGCGGGGCTACTGGGAGGGGCCGAGGCGGGGCACGCTGCAGGGGCGGGGCCACGGGCCGGGGCGGGGCTACGGGGAGGGGCCAAGGCGGAGGCGGATACGCTGCAGGGGTGGGGCCACGGGCCGGGGCGGGGCCGAGGCCGGGCGCGCTGCAGGGGCGGGGCCGCGGGGCGGGGCCGCGGGGCGGGGCGGGGCGGAGGCTGGACACGCTGCAGGGGCGGGGCTGCAGGCCGGGGCGGGGCAGAGGCCGGGCACGCTGCAGGGAGAAATCGAGGCGCCGAGAAGCTACGTGACTTAGCCACTTAACTTGGCCCAGACTTGGAGACCGACATCTCCCTTCCCCAAGTGAACTCCCTTTCCCGAATGAGAGAGTCCTGCAGACATGCCCCACCCCCTGGCCCACTCCCCAGGAGCCCGCAACAGCCAGGCTGTCCCTAGGCTGCAGCACTCAGCCCAAGTCCCTCCTGGGTGGCAGGGACCCAGGGGCTTGAGCCATCGGCGGCTGCCCCCCAGGGTGTGCGTTAGCAGGAGGCTGGAAATAGGAGCAGGGCGCGGGTGCGGGCGTCCCGAGCAGTGACTTCAGCACTGGACCCAGCGCGGGCCCCACAGGCTGCTGTCGCCCGCACCTGTGGCCGTTCCAGGTGAGTCACTGCACAGTGCTTTGGGACCGGGGGAGGCGGGTGCGTGTCATTCTCCACAGATTCGTGTTTGGGAAGCAGCCATAGTGGAGATGGCATGCTTGGTTCAGGGCCACCCAGTGACCGGGCTGCCCAATTGCCCACCGCGAGCTGAGCGCTGTCTGACGCACCGCGGCCGCAGGGCTGGACCCGCAGGGCGGCGCCCGGGAGTCAGACACAGAGGCGTTGCCAGGTCAGGTGCAAACAGGCCATGCACGTGGCTCGTGGCTTCGTGGGGAATGGGACCAGCTGACTGAAGGGGACGAGCCTGCGCGCCGTAGAGACGGCTCTGCAGCCTCCCGTGTGGAAGCCTCTTTGTGGTGTCGGCTCGCTTCTCCCTCGCCTTCGGCTGTAATGAAAAGTCCCAGGCTCGTCTCGCACGCCTGGTTTACCTTGAGCTCTTAAACATGTAGAACACTCACGCACCTTCAAACGTTAAAACTGTTCCAAAGTACACCGGAGAGGCGGAGAGGCGCGTCCCCTCCCGCCCCAGTTCCTGTCTCCCGTGCCCTTTAACAGCAAACTGCATTGCTTTCTGGCCTGTTTCCTTTTGCGATAATGAGCAGATGCATGTACGCTCTTCTTATTTTCTCTTACACAACTGTCACGTCCTGTATATTATGGTGAACGCTGCTTTTTTCATTTCGTTGAATCACTCTGTGTCAGCTCACAGAGCTCCTCCCTTTTGGACAGCTGGCTAGTCCTCCATTGTGTTTGTGTACCATAGCTTATTGAACGGATCTACCACGTGGTACTTTACAATGACAAACAATCCCGCATGGAATTATGCATTTGAATTTTTCAATTCTTGGCAACAGATCTTCAGAATCAATACCTGGACCTGGGATTTCTGGGATGAAAGGAAAATGTATGTTCTTTTATTAGCTATTGTCATTGAGTTATTTTGCTAACCCTTTCCAAGACTTTTGAATTGAGATTTATTTATCTTCATTCTTTTGTTTTTTATCAATGTAGGTGTTAGAGTTGTGAATTTTCCTCTGATCTCTGATCTATATCTCATAGGTTTGTAGATACTTAACATTACTCGAAATAAATTCTGTACTTTCATTTTCCCTTTCAACAGTTTTATAATTGAGTTTTAAAATTTCCATGTGAAAGAACTTTTTTTATTAAAAATATTTATTTATTTATTTATTTGAAAAGCAGGGTCACAGAGAGAGAGGGAGTGACAGAGAGAAGGAGAGAGACCTCCATCCACTGGTTCACTCCCCAAAATGGCCACAATGGTCAGGGCTGGTCCAGACCAAAGCCAGGAGCCATGACCCTCCTCCAGGTCTCCCATGTGGTGCAGGGGCTCAAGCACTTGGACTATCCTCTGCTTTTTTCCCCAGGGGAATAGCAAGGAGCTGGATCAGAAGTGGAGCATCCGGGTCTCTAACCAGTGCCCATATGGGATTCTGCTTAATCTCGTATGTCCCAATGTCAGCTCCTGAATTCAATTTTAATTCAAGTGGGTGTCATAACCAAACTGATGGGGTTGGGAGGGGAAGAATGAGTGGCTGTATCCAGTCTCGTGCAGGATAGGGGCGGGTGGGGGAAGAATGATGGACAGATACTGAACCCTTTTCAGAGGTGTGTTTATTGTCATGGTATGGGTGGAAGAATTCCAACAAAAGGAAATGTGTTGAAGTTACTGAGAACGGGGTTCTCATTGTAGACGGAAGATACAAACATGGAATGGGAGAAGGCGAACAACAGCCCTGTGGGGGTAGATTGGAATTGGAGGGCGCAGAATAAATTCCTAATGAATTAAACACTTGGGAATGGGCTTGGATTTGTGTGTGTGTGTGTGTCCATGTGTGTATCTCCCTGCAGCTGAAAAATCAAGAAGCAGAGATCCAGAGCAAAAGTCCTTTCACATGGAAATTTTAAAGCTCAATTATAAAACGCTTCATTGAAGGGGAAAACAGAGTACATCTTTCTAGATGGACACCTAGACTTAAGATCTTGACCTCTAACACTTACCACCTACCATTAAAGGAAGGAAGGCTCCTGGGAGAAAAGGCTGGTCCAGGTTGGGGTATGGTTCAAGATAAGCTTGTGGCATCTCATTTGTTGGAGATTAAGGAAGTGCTCCCCCCAAAATTTATGGCAGCATGTCACTAGGAGAAAGGGATCAGCTTTGGGGGTGCCTGCTGGCCAAAGTAGACCCATTTGAGCCTCCCAAATAAGTATGTACAGTAATGAACATAAACCATTGGAAAAAATGTGAGGATTCATAAATCATGTGTGGCTGTACCACCCTGAATGCACCTGATCGCACCTGATCCCAGAAGAATTAATAAGTCCAAACCAAAGATAGGTTAAACAAACAACCAGGAGCAGAAGCTAAGCCTACAGTCGAATGCCAAAGGCTAACTGGCAAATGGAGAGGGCAGTGTGGAGTTAGGAAACCATCGCTCCGGCCCCATGATGGTAAAGAGTGGATCAGGCTTGAGAATCATCACGCTGAGTGTAGGTGGCAGTTTTGAAAGCAACAAGATCACAAACATGATCATAAAATTTCTTCCTACAAGCACTTGATTAGTTGCAAGGGAGAGAACAAAAAGTAGTCCTCCAGTGGCGTAATCAGGCAATCCTTAGACCAGGTGATCAAAATGCCCATCACCTGGGAGGGCAGGTGGGCTTTGTGTACCTCCCAGACAGGTCGTTCTGAAGAAGGGGTGATAGCCCCTCCGCACACCTGCAGTACACAAGCCCAATCTCTGACCACAGGGAGATGTCTCACAAACACTGAGTGAGGACGGTACTTTTAATGGTGGGGAGGAAGGAACTGTATTCTTAAAAATGTTGATACCGGGGTTGGCGCTGTGCCATAACGGGTAAAGCTACCACCTGCAGGGCTGGCATCCCATATGGGCACCAATTCGAGTCCCAGCTGCTCCACTTCCCATCCAGCTCTCTGCTGTGGCCCGGGAAAGCAGTGGAAGATGGCCCAAGTCCTTGGGCCTCTGCACCCATGTGGGAGACCCAGAGGAAGCTCCTGGCTTCGGATCGGCACAGCTCCAGCTATTGGCGGCCATTTGGGAAGTGAATCAGCAGATGGAAGACTTCTCTCTCTCTCTGCCTCTCTGTAACTCAGCCTTTCAAATAAATAAATAAATCGATCGATCTTTTTAAAAATGTTGATATCATAAAAAACAACATTGGCACAAATGCTCCGGGTTAAAGGGAGCAGGAGGGTCATTTGCAGGACCCTGGGTTGGAGAGGAGAATGCCAGAAAAGACATTGTTAGAAACCAGCAAAACCAGTGTCCGGATGGCACGTTGGGTAAGGGCGGAACTCCAACGTAGATTTGTGAAGCTGATGGTTGTTCTAAAGCTAGAGGAGAGAACACCTCCACTCTTAGCAAAAATAAGCTGTTTAGTCACAGTGTTTGCCATTTAGGTGCAAATGGTTCAGGGGGAAAAGTGGTAGGGAAGAGAGAACAAACGTTCAGGCAGAGGGCGAAATGTCAGCCTCAAAGGAGAGTTCCGGAACACCTACCAGCTTATGTTCCACCCTGGCTGCGGTGCCTCCTACTGCCAACAGATGACATGCAAAGCCCTCGGCAGCCCCTGGCCAGCCAGCAAGACCCAGCCCCGGAACCTCCTTCTCGCTGGCACCCCACGTGGTGGTTCACGGAGCTCGGATGCTCACACACACCCTACTCCTTCCTGCCTCTGGGACTTTACGCGCGTTACTGCCCCGCCCTCCCCCGCCCTTTAGATTCGACTCCTTTTCAGCCTGGTGGTTCCAGCTCCGGTGTCACTTCCCATTCTGTACAAGGGGGCTCTGTCCCCTCGCGCTCTCTGCCTCTCTTTCAGCGGCATCATAATTATTTGTGAAAGTGACGTTCTTCTACCTCCGAGGCCTCTTCACCACATCTGTGCGGTGCACACCAGCAGGAAGTGGGCAGCCGGGTTTATCCGGCAAAGCTTGGGGTCGAAGCGGCTACCGCGGTCGCTGTGGGCACAACGAGGTCAGGAGCGGCTGGAGGCTGGCGGGGGACGGGAGGGGAGGGACGAAACAGCCCAGCACAAGCTTTTCGGTCATGGTACACACCTGTCATGGATTTCCCCAGACAGGAGTGGTCCCTACTCTAAATTGTGATCGCAGCGCCATCACCGTGCAGCC